TGTAAAAATAGGGAGAGTCGTGTTCGACACGCTCGGACACGGCGACACGCTCCGACACGGTGTCGGACACGCGGTCACTTTTTCCGACACGTTGACCATTCCGACACACGAATTTGACCGTGTCCGACACGATCAAATGACATTTTCGTAATTTTATTTTATTTTTTTAAAAAAAATTATTATTTTTTAAATTAAAATATATTAATAAAGCTTCCACTGATCATATCAATTTTATTTTTTTGTCTTTTTTCTCCATAAGTAGATAAGAGATCATCTTAGCATCATTGCTGTCAATTCCTATCACGCTCTTGTTGTATCTCTTTGTCTCTGATCTCTCTCTAATATGATTTGATCTCTCTATCTGATATTATATCTCTCTCTCACCCCAGTTCTTATTTTTTTTATTAAAGCTTCTATCTTTATATAACGTGTTGATGAGAATTATTAATTTAGTTTCATTTTTTTGTTAAATTATTAAATATTAAATGAAATATACACTATATAAATTAAAAATATTATTTAATATTAAAACGTGTCCCAACGTGTCGAAATTCATAATTTTTTAGGATTGACGTGTCGAAGTGTCGCGTCGTGTCACGTGTCACGTGTCGTATCGGTACTACATAGGTTATAAGAACTATTTAATTACTAAGAGAAAGAAGACATACATGTAATATTATAAATGTATACTTAGATCCATTGAATTTTATAAATGTATCTTGAAAGCCTTTATTTGATTCCGGCCTTTCGTTGAAGTTCACTGATTTTTCTTTTTTTAATAATTTGTAGTGTGCATTTTTTCCTGTTATATATATATATATATATATATATATATATATATATATATATATATATATATATATATATGTATATATGTATATGTATATATATATATATATATTATTGATTTATTTACTTTGTATTATATGTATGGAAAATAATCAATTCACATTGGTATATAAATAATAATTCTTAGATACATTCAAATCATCAATTAGCTTATTTCATCAATTTCCTTTCTTCTGATGATGGATCCAGCTTCCATGTATAAGAGAAAATTTATTTGAAAAAAATTATTGAAGAATCAAGAAAGTTCAATGGTGATCCAAATAGACTTGGAAATCTAAAGAGAGAAAAAAGGGGAGAACGGACAAATATAAAATCATGTGATATGCATACAATAAAAGAGAGATAGATAACAGTGGTGCACTGGCGCTTCACATTTCCATTTAAGCTTCTATTATTGCTCCACAATTTATTCTCTTTTGTCTTATTGCCATAAGTACATAACTTGCCACAATAGCAATTATTATTAGCGTGTGATAGTAAATGAATGGATTTAATTATTCTAATTACAATTTACAAAAAATTTTATTTTATCCAACAAATTGGAGAATTACTGGTTTGCAATATTTGCAAACTAAAAAGAAGTAAAATGCCTAAGAGTTTGTTTTGATCAGTGATTCAAACTTTGGGCAAAATAAATGTTTGAAATTCTTTAGAGGTTAGAGAGAAATTGCCTCCATTTTTAAAGGAAATTAGTTTAATCTTTACTTCAAGTATAATCGTTCAATGCATTCTCTGTTTCAAGAGAAATTAATCTTATGAGCTGTATTCCAAGAATAGTATGACTAAAAGAAATTGTGTGAAAATACTTTTGATTTATTAAAAAAAATAAAAAGAAGCAAAAGTACAATCGAACTTTCTCCCAAATTGTCTTTTTTCAATCATTTTTCGTTTTCTTCTTCTAATATGAATCCTACTACTTTATTTACTTATTTAAAAGATTAAAAAATTGAAAGGATTTGGAGAAGTTATATATATGACAACCTTCTGAAAACAATAGTGAAACCCTTGTCTTTTTCGAGTTTGCCACGCGAGTGATAATGACTTGAGTTTTGGTCCTTTACCTGCTGTGGAGGACTGCCAAAGCAGTAGCACAGTTGCTGTTACAGATTGGTGCTAGTGAAGTTTATTTTTTATGGGCGTGTTATAAATTTGGATTTTATGTTTTTCGTGTAATATAACACAACTTTATTTTCCTACACACATTAAAAAAGTGGAGTTCATATATTTTTCATTATTTCCCTCTCTCTCTCCTTTTTGTTGTATATGTTGAAAACAAAACCTAAGTTATGTAACATAACATTAATAAAGCTCTATAAATTTTTCTATAAGTAGATAATAAAATCATAAGAACATAAAACTATTTGGAATATTGATAAAAATATTTTGATGAGTTTTTTTTTTTTTTTGTAAAAACATAAAATTATAGTGATAAATTAAGATTTTAACTACTATGTCATAATACTAATCAATTAATTTTTTCTATAATACTAATCAATAATTTCATATTTTAAATTAATTAGATTCATGGATATTTCAATTAAATTAATTATATAATGAGCACATTATATGATAAAGAGAATTGTGTTTTTAGTATTTACTGGGCTAGTTTGGGCAATATAATACTAGCATTGATATCTAATTGAATTGCATAATGGGTGCATAATTAGATATTTGATTAAAGATTTGAGTACCGTACTTCAATAATTAAATAGTCGGAAGAGATTGAATGAGAATATCTATAAATTTTTATAAAAAAAGATTTGACATTTTCAAAAAGTAATAAACTCGAATTATGTGAATCGCAACTCTTAAAAAAAAGTGAAGAAATTCAAATGTGAAATAAAATTAGTCAGTCAGTCAGTCATAGAGAAAAAAAATTTAACAAGCGGAAGAGAGTTGCCGCTCGCTGAAAAAATGCTTTATTATCATGTATCTCTTAATATTTATAGTTTTGAATTATTTGTGAATTCATGCATATATAACATAAGAAAGTTTCTAAATTTTTTTAACACACTCGTTTTAATAAAAAAAATGAATTCCACTTTCAAAAGTGTCCTTATCAATAATATTTGTGATTAATGTTTCTGCTATTCTAGAAAATAATTTTATTTTTTATATATATATAAAAGTTTGTTAGACTCATATTATATTTTTATCTCTCTTCTTTTTATATGGCCACACATGGACCCGACAAATTTTTATTATCTCATATAAAATAATTAAAAACATTAATCCCAGAATATTTTCCGTTCTCATCAAAGAGGTTTATCCCCACTGGCCACGTATGTTCTTCGGATGCTTTATCAAATGGAGTTCTATTATGGTTGCTAGTGAATTGAATTAGAAACATAACTCTTCTGCTGTTAACACTTAACAGATTTATCTATCAGATCATTGGCTGAAAAATAAAAAACAGACAGTGTCAAACGAAAATATTTTCAATAATGGGCATCCGAACATCACTTACTAAAATAATAATAATTCACTTTAACATCTTTTATCCTAAATTCCCCTTAATGTTTGCATGAATCTCACTCTTATTATTTTAGGTTAAAGAATACTTAATTACTACGGGAGAATTGAAAATATACTTGGTGTGAACACAAACACAACTTGTTCAAATTTCAAAAGTAACAGCAGGTATCACATGGCATTGTTGTGAAGTGCTTTTAGGAAGATAAGTTGCATTTTGGTGCCTAAGATTCTGCTGCCATGTGTGAACTGAACAATTTTTGGGACATAACAAAAACTAAGCAATGTTCCGATCCTTTTTCTTCTTGTGGTCAAATAAATATTCTCTTTAATCCTTTTCCCTTTTCAGATATCTTTTCTACACTGAGTCAATGATAGTGGCAGATTTTTCCGCCATAAGAACATTACCATTGCATTATCTGTTTTTCTTTCTTAGATTACTAATCAAGGTTTGAACAGTAGATTGACTTGACCATTAGATAGATTAGAATGTTGTTGAGAGTATTTAACAAAAAAATCATGCTCTTTAAAACATTCAATATTTAATTTACTGTTCCACGCATTTTTTATGATTAACTCCGACAATTACTAACCTATTACAGAAGGTGGCTCTTTCAAGATAATTTTTTTCATTTTCATACTCGAACTCAAGATCTTTAACTCGAGACTTCTGATTAAAAGGTACGAGCTCTTTATTACTTTGAAGCAATTGTTATTAGTAAACATATATGAATTTTAGTTCCATAAATGTGAATTTTCGAGAATTAACTTTGTAACTAGTATCGGGGTGGCATTAATTTGATGACCTCAGGGTTCTTTGCATCATTATAAATAAGGGAAGAATCCGAAACACATTTTAGACCCCAGTTTAACATTGAATTTAATTTTATAATAACGCTTAGTGGAAGATTGCAAACACTGGATAAGAATAAAACATCTAACATGGATCTAAATTGGAAGACATTAATGGTGTAACTTTATCACCATGAATTATTCTTGTCTTTGAGTTATTATGTTTCAACAAGTTGTGGAAAATGACAAGACCAATATCAAACAATGAGAAGTAGACACACAAGTACATTGAAATTAAATATTGTGAGCATGAGGAGGACCCCATTATGTGTTGTTATGTTGAGATCCCATCATCTCCATTGACAGCCAAGTACCAACTTCAATACACAAAGAGTTTCCCTTGCCATGCGCATAAAACCTTCATAGATAGGGGGCCACATTTGTTTTTGTTTTGGTGTTTGCTCAGTTTCAGAGTTTTTCTTTCGTTGCCATGTCCAATAAGACACAACATTACAGTGAATCAGTGCATATTTTTTTTTTTCATAGTGTTGGACCACACTCCACATAGTCCCACCAAATCAAAGAACTTAGTGGAACCTAATATTCTATCTTACTTGTCTTTTTCTCTTTTTTTCAAACATAAAAAAATATTCCACACTGGTGCTGGTAGTGTCATTTGACTCATTTTGCTTATAAACACTGGTCCTTTCATTCTCATCTCCACCCACTTTCTCTGCTTTTTTTTTTTTCTTTGCCCCTGACTTTTTGATACATTAATTTAACTCACTCACACGCAGAGGTTAAGAGGAGAGAAAGGTTTCTACACAAAAAGAGAGTTCATCAACCCCAAGAGAAGGTGCACACACACACACACACAAACACACACAATGATGCCCCTCAAGATGACTGAGATGTGGACAACAATGGGGTCAACCTTAGCTAGCTTCATGTTCGTGTGGGCGATCATACAACAGTACTGTCCGTACGAGGTTCGACGTTTCCTAGAGAAGTACATGCATAGGATCATGAGTTACTTCTCCCCTTACATTCGAATCTCCTTCCACGAGTTCTTGGGAGATAGGCTCAAGAGAAGTGAGGCTTATGCAGCTGTTGAGGCATACCTCAGTGCCAACACATCAAAAAGCGCCAAGAGGCTCAAAGCTGAGATGGGTAAGGATAGTAGCAACTTGGTGTTGACTATGGATGAGTATGAGAGAGTAACAGATGAGTATAAAAGTGCAAAAGTTTGGTGGGTTTGTAGCAAAGTTATGTCACCAACTAGGTCCATGTCTTATTATCATCAAGAACAGGAGAAGAGGCTTTACAAGCTAACTTTTCATAAGAAACATAGGGACTTAATCACTGAGTCATATTTGGAGCATGTGATGAGGGAAGGGAAGGAGATTCGTTTGAGGAACAGGCAGAGGAAGTTGTATACTAATAGCCCTGGCTATAAGTGGCCAAGTTATAAACAAACTATGTGGAGCCACATTGTTTTTGAACACCCTGCAACTTTTGAAACAATGGCTATGGAGCCTCAGAAGAAGAAGGAGATCATTGAGGATTTGGTCACTTTTAGTAAGAGTAAGGATTTTTATGCTAGGATTGGTAAGGCATGGAAAAGGGGTTATCTTCTTTATGGCCCTCCTGGTACTGGCAAGTCAACCATGATTGCAGCAATGGCTAATTTGTTGGCCTATGATGTTTATGACTTGGAGCTAACTGCAGTGAAGGACAACACTGAGTTGAGGAAGCTTTTGATTGAGACAACGAGTAAGTCTATAATTGTTATTGAGGACATTGATTGCTCACTTGATCTTACAGGTCAGAGGAAGAAGAAATCAGACAAGTTGCAAGATGATGAGAATGACAAGGTGAACTCTGAAGTTATAAGGAAAGAAGCCAAAGAAGAAGGAAGCAGTGTTAGCAAAGTCACACTTTCAGGGCTGTTGAATTTCATTGATGGGATATGGTCTGCTTGTGGAGGTGAGAGGTTGATTGTGTTCACAACTAATTATGTGGAGAAGCTTGATCCAGCACTTATCAGAAGGGGTAGAATGGATAAGCACATAGAATTGTCCTATTGCAGTTTTGAAGGGTTTAAAGTGCTTGCCAATAACTACTTGAAGCTTGAGACTCATCCAATGTTTGACACAATTCAGAGGCTAATAGAGGATATCAAGATCACACCAGCTGATGTTGCTGAGAGCCTTATGCCAAAGTCTCCATTGGATGATGCAGAAAAGTGTCTTTCAAGCTTGATTGAAGCTCTTGAGGAAACAGCAGCTGCTGCAACAAAAGCTGAGGAGCTGAGTCTTTGTAGTCCCATTAAAGAAGATGAGCAATTGGAACATATTAGTCCCATTAAGGAAAATGGTGAGTTTCGAGGTGACAAAGAAACTGACCAAGCAATGAACCAAAGCCAGCGATAGTGCATTAGTCATAATATTGTGTACAAGAAATTCTGGCTTTAAGGACAAAATCTGAGGCACATTTCTCTTCATAGTAAGTAGTATCATGTATCTATCTTCCTGAAGTCCACGAGAAGAAAGAAAGAAAAAAAAAGAAAAAAAAGCAGAGATTGTAATTTAGCATTTGTAATTTTGTTTGGGATTAATTTTGAACTTCTGTTATAGATAAAAGAATTAATAAAATTTCTTGTTAATGGGATAGGTCCCTCCCTTAATATAAAAAGAAGGTTTGGGAGCATATAAGAATGTTCTGTGCTTTATTATACTATACTAAACCTCAGGGTTGCACGGGCAGATAAATAAAATTTAGTATCCATATTTTATTTAGTTAGAGAGTGTGCTTCAACAACATAATTTTGCACACTCTCCTTGGTGATTAAATGATAAATAACCATTCCATTGCTAGTTTACAATTTTTAAAAGCCAACTTCGTAGATGTTAATGTTAATACGTTTAGCATTTTGCTTTTCTCTCTGTTTCATTGATAATATCGTTGGGTGTGTTACTTCGTTTAATGCTTGTGGTTAAGCATATATTTCATTTATGAGTGTATGGCTCAATGTCTGCTCAACCACCTCAATGAATGTTACTTATCTAATTATTGTTAAAAGATTCTAAAAGAAGATGCAGAATCTTCTACTCAACTCTATAAACACGACGAAACCTTTGTAATAAGTTAGTCATTTTTTAGAGCTTTACTAAGCATAGTTTGAAAGAGAATCCTCTCAAGAGAACTTAACTAAGCATAATTATTGGTGAAGTTTTGAATGTAACTAGTATGACTAGAGAAATTTGAATCATTTTTATTCCAATTATTTATAGTGGAAGATTTTTTAAACTAGCATCCTGTGATTGATTTTTATTTTTCTGCATTAAAAAAAAATTCACGTTAAAATTTGCTGTATTTTCTTCTCAATCTCTCATCTTCTGCATTATTTTGCTTTTTTGTGATTTGACCGATCGGTGATTTCAGGCCGTTCGATTGTGTTGACCGACCAATTTTTTTTTTTGGAGGTTACAAGAAATTGAACACAACATCCTACACTACACACACTTTTAACACACACACCTCACACCACTAGACTAATCCTAGTGGTATGTTGACCGACCAGTTTGAGTGCCGATCGGTAACCTCAAATTGCTGATAAATAAATTGTTTCCACGTAGACTATTTGTGGGACCGGTCCTAACAAATATTAATCCTTTTTAATATATAGCTATGTGAAGATTGTTCCTTGAGAACTATCGTCATTTAAAATGCTGCTTAGTATTTAGTTGACTTTTCAATGAATAATTATTGTTATATAATAATGGAAGTGTCTCCTCAACCTTGTTGTCTAGGAATCTATTTCTCTCTTAATTAGTTGCTTCTTCAAGCGTAGCTTTCACAAGTGGCCTAACAATTTCTTTTACCTGAAATGCATAGCAATAGTGGACCCGTAAGAAACAAAATATCCTTGAATGGACATAATGGAGCATTACATGAAACAAGAGCAGGTCATTACTTTTTCAGAAAATTTAGAAAATTAAAAATAGTTGACATGACAATTTTACGACTCGTGTCTCAGCTTAATTTTTTTATGTTACTGTAAATAGATTTCTGATTGTCACATTAATCTATTTGACATAAGTAATTGACATTTTATTTTGCACCCCCCACCAAAAAAAAATTACGAAGAATACAATTCAGCACAGCACACACTCTGAGAAACAGTCCCGGGAAACACCAATTTTAGTTCAAAAATATTTAAATTCTTAAAAATCAAATATTTGCCCCTTAAAATATTATTTTGATTTAAATTTTATTTTACCTATTTTGCATTACTACATGAATTTTAGGAAATCAATATTAAGGACCCATTTGATTCTATTATTTTTTTAAATTATTTTATATAATTATTTTTAGAATTAATATACATAATAAAAATATCAAAAATTTATTTGATGAATTTTGTTGAGAATAAATTTGCAAAATTTGGGGATGCTTTGACCGCAATGGTGCCGCCTGGCGGCGTAATTTGAAGCGGAAGTAAAGAATTCATAAAATAAACTTTAAGAAACAATAAACAACTAAAATGTATTTTAAATTTTCTACTTTAAAAACAAATTATAAAGAACAAATTTTCCAAATGGTAAAAAAAAAAAAAGGTACCAAACAATTTTTGTTTTTTTTTGTTTTTGAAAATCAATATTAATCTATTAAGCAATGTTGTCCTTAGGTTAAGCTGGATCCTTCATCCTCCGTTTATTATGTTTATGTATTTATCTGTGAAACATTCTTTAATTATGTTTGCGCCAACTCCTGATTCAATATATAACGACTTAAGAATTGCATTCCTCATTTTGACTTGATGTTGCGCATTAAAAAGATCCAACTTATTAGCAAGTTAATATTTCAAAAGGGAATAACATCTGTCATTTTAAAGGATATAAGCTTATATCATTTTAAATTCTAACTGTTGATTTCTGTCCATCAACAGTTATAATTTATTGAATCAAAATTATTAATTAATTAATAATAAATTTGACCCATTAAATTTGACTCAATAAATTATAACCGTTGACGGACGAAAATTAACGGTTAAGATCTAAAATGATATAAACTTATATCCTTTAAAAGGATAGATATTGTTATAAAAAAAAAAAGGATAGATATTTTTCCCTATTTTATTTCAAAAGGTGTTAAAATTTAAAAATCTAAGCACTAATGTAAAATAACGAAAAACTTTCAGAAATCAAAACTAATGTTTTGGAGGCCATGTGTTGTTTTAATAAGTAAAAAATTTCAAGTAGCCAAGTAGTGTTTACTCTAAAGATTATTTGACTTCGGCAGTTAGTTTCATTATTACTAAAGAATCCGTTTAAATATGAAACAAGGCAGTTAACCGAAATGCTCCATCAGTATTGAGTCCACGAAAAATAGAACTAGCAGGGCTTGATAATCTAAATGCCACATCTTTTTAAAGTTACAGTACCTCTTAACAGTTATTGTACATCAATTGGATGGGCTAAATAACGCCCCACGATTTCTCATTCATTTTGGTAGACCTTTTGAATGTAAAACGCTAAAAAAAAATGACTCTAACTAATCTACATAACTCGGTATCATGCTGCTTCTGGTGGCAAATCATGCACCAAGGGCTGCTTAGATCATGCCATAGGAAGAGACCAGATAGTAACTTCCTCTGTGGGGCTTATAACAAAATTTATAGTTCTATTATCATACACATTGCCTTCCCTGATAGAATCCCTGCTCTCAAGCAGAAGGGCAAGCTTCAGTAATCATTGTCTTCATCTTTCATTATCGTACTTGGACCATCATCAAAACCAGAGCTAGGGGCAAGCTCATTCAAATCAAGAAAACGTCTTTTTCCCGTGCCCTCAACTTCTTCCTGACCAGGACTACTTGATTGTTCAGGAGGCTGGTTTTTTTGGTTCTCTTCCTCTGCAGGATAAGTAATAGGCTCATCTACTTTCATTTCCTGATCTTCATCATCATTTCCATCTGAATCTTCACTTTCCATCATATATTCCCCATTCTCACTGGGATCTGAGTGATCAGCTGATGCATTAGATTTCTCAGGTTCAATAAACTCTGTTTCTGATTCCGACACCTCATAGTTACGGTAATTTATTTGATTTCTAGTTGCCCTCTTACTGCGTCTTAGACCTGATTGAATCTCATCCACAGACTTGCGTTTAGTTTCCCTCCTAGTACGGCCTGGCAATTGTTTGACTTTACGGGGTTTGTCACTATCCTCACTCATGCTCAAGGAATCTTCATCGTCTTCTTCTTCTTCTTCATCTTCAACGTTATCTTCATTCCACTGATATTCTTCATCTCCTTCAGAGCTACTAGATAGCTTCCTTCTCTGCTTGCGTTTCTTGAGATATTCTTCATCATATACGGCTTCTCCAACAATATCATCATCACTGTCAAAGTCTGCCTCATTATCTGATACTGCGTCGACGAACTCTTTCTCTGAATACCGCTTAGGTTTCTGTCTTCGCCGATTGCTGATGTAAAAAAGAAAGTATTAGTCAAAATTAGATAGAAGGCACCAGAACAGATTTCAAAGAAACAAGAGCTACACACCTTCTATCCAATGTGTCAGTTTTATACTCTTCCTCATCGTCATCAGAGTAAGATGATTCTGGAGATGACATACCAAAATTCAGATGTTGTGGGGCATGTGAAGGACCATATTTACCATTAGTCAAAGCTTCAGGTTTTGGTACTGATTCTCTCCTGGGCAGAGGTTCTGGGGATGGCTGTTTCCGCCTGACAATGGAAGAAACAGATATATATGTCATGAGTAACAACAGTATAAGTGAATGAGCATGACTGACCCATCCCCCTCCCAATACACACACACACACACACAATTACACGAACATAGAGAGAAAGGATATAAGCACATACTTGGTTACTTTAATTGCCTCATTGATGGACCGATCGTAATCATCTGCAACAGTTAAGGTCAGAACGTTATGTTAGTGTAAAACAAGCATGTAGTGGATACTCAGGAAGTAAGACCATTCCTGTCCAACCAAAAAGAAAATCAGGTAGTTCAGGTAAAACAATTTGAACAAAACCACTGCGGCGAGGTTTCGGGTAATTTGAAGGAGGTTATAGGTTCAACCCACAGCTCATTGTTACTTGAAAATTAAAAAAAAAAAAGAATTTGAACACAATTTATACAGAATGCCAATGTATGAAGTTGTATATTGCATAAAAAAGTGACACTGAATTATTCATTTCCATTTCCAAATTGCCTCACCACAATTCACCAACATCAACGTAGGATGAAACCAATGTGACTTCTGCTTTTTGAGTCCAAAACCAGCATGATTCAAAAAAGAAAAGGTGGCCCAATGCACAAGTCTGCTACCATTGTGGTGACAATGGTGAGGCTCAGATGTCCAGTCTTACCCTCATGAGGGAGATGTTGTTTCCATAACTAAAACGGGTGACCACAGTTGAATAATATCTTCTATTTTAGGAGATAGATCTATGTCTCTATAATTAATTAGCTGGATTTGATTAGATTTGGTTTTATTTTGTAGTTGTTTTCTTTTTTATTAGTAATTGTAATTCCTACATATAATGAATGAGGGCTGGGACAATTTCCTCAAGCCATTTAGAACTCTCTTGTAACATGATATCAAGAGCTAGGGTTGTCCAGCTGTGGGAAACCCTCAAAACATAAAAAGTCCAACCATCATCCATCTTTAAACCAACACCTATCCCACCAGAAAGGTTCCAAGCCGTCCAGAACCAGCTGATCTGTCATCTTGTCGAAGCGCTGTTGCCAGAGCCTCTCTCATGCGCCTGCACATGCAAATCCCTCTGTCTACGCATGGATCTCACACCACACATCTGTCGGTGCATGTGGTTCACACAGCACCTTCCCAGTGTCAGTTTCTCATGCCGCCTTTCTCACCTTGCTGCAGTTTCCTCTTTCCTACTTGGTGATTGGAAGCTCGGTTTCTTGTCCAATTTGGTAGTGGGTCATTGATTCCCACTTTATTTTGGGTACTGTTCACACAGTTCCAGATATGTCCAGCCACCAACCACCCATCTTGGCTGTCAGTTTGAACAACTATGGACTCAAGTAAGGTAATCCCTCCGATTCTAAAGGTCCTCACGTGTCCGAAGTCATCAATCCAGTTCATAATCTGCGGGTCCTTATATACTAAAATTCAAAATCAATTTGGCAAGTCCATTAAAATTTTACGTAGAAATAATGCCAAAAAATATTTTTCCACTAAATTCTCATCATTTATGTCCTTTAATGGTATTTTACATCAATCATCATGTGTGTACACCCCAACAAATTGGAGTGGCTAAAAGAAAAAAGCATCATCTTATTGAAACTGCTCAAACATTATTATTACAAGCTAAGATGCCTTTTCATTCTTGGGGTGATGCTGTCTTTACTGCTTGCCATTTGATGAACCGTATGCCCTCATAAGCGGTCAATAATCAAGTTCCTCTTTGTTTGTTAGATCCCAAATGTCTCATACATCTTGTTCCTCCTTGAGTGTTTGGATGTATTTGCTTTATCCATGATCTTTCTCTAGAACAAGATAAGTTGTCTCCTCATGCTATTCATTGTGTCTTCCTTGGTTATCCAAGATTGCAAAAGGGATATCATTGTTATTCTCCTATCAATCGTTAATGGTATACCTCTCCCGACGCCACCTTCTTTGAAGACACACCCTGCTTCACTTCTTCTATTGACTTAGACGGGATGTCTAAAGTTTTCCCTGTTCCATATTTCGGCCCTCCTTTGTCTCCCTTGCAAGTACGATTCACAGAATCTACAGCAATTCAGTTAAAGCAAGTCCAGACTATTTCACATCAGCAACCCTTCATCACCTATCAACGTTGCCCAAAAGAGACGGGCCCTAGTGAATCATATCCTACACCACCGATGTCACCTCCTACAAACCTATCCTCTTCTATGGATCTCTCCGACCCTGGTGAGTCTGTTAACAAATTACCTATTGGAGTTCGAAAAGGTATTTGATCCACTTGCAACCCTCATCCTCTATTTATAATTTTTAAAGGCGGCTTGGGATAATTGATCATATGAAACAACATTGTGATAATCATGTCCCCTTACACATTGCGTCAAATCAACATTCCATGAAAGGACCAAACATATAGAGATTGATTGTCACTAAATCAGAGAGAGAAAGTTATTTCTATCATCATTGAATTTGTCAATTCCAGCGATCAACTAGCTAATATTCTAACAAAGTCATTGCAAGCTCCTTGAATACATTTCATATGTGACAAGCTTGGAGCATGTGATATGTCTCTATAATTAATTAGCTTGATTTGATTAGATTTGCCTTTATTTTGTAATTGTTTCTTTTTTTATTAGTGATTATAATTCCTATACATAATGAATAAGGGCCAGGACAATTTCCTCAAGTGTAACACCTAAAAAAATAATAACAATAATATCTTTGACATGGCACATGGCATCTTTGAAAAAAATGGAATCTTTGAAAATAAAATATCTTTGAAAAAATGGCATCTTTGACCAAAAAGGAGCCTTTGAAAATATATTTGTATTATATTATTATATTAAAAAATAAAAAAAGTCCAAAAGTCCATATAAAGACCCCCCCTAAAGTCATTCAGGACATTTAGAAAAGAGAAGAGAGAGAGAAAGAGAGAAAGAAAGAGAAAGAGAGAGAGAGAAAAACATAAAGGAAGGGAAATGTAATATTGAGAGATAACTTCATTCTCCTAGTTTCACTTTTCTTCATATATTTCTATATTTAAAGTTGGTATTTCGAAAGTTATTTTTTTAAAAATTGTGAAAGTATCGTTACTCTGGCGAACCATTTTCTTATGAATCTCTTCTACTCTTTTGTTTTATCTTTTCAAGACTATAGAACTAATGAATTCCTTTGGTACCAAATGAATATTAACAAAATATGTAATCTTTAACTAAATGATTCTGATGTGAACTGACCCACAAAGGTTTGAGGTTTGGGTTCAGACTGAAATTTTGTAAGGGATGCCTTACTTGGTTTTGAGTTTGAGCTCCTCCAATCAGAACCTTCACATGCAATGACCCACAGAATTTTAGGTTTTAATAGTTTCAGTTAAAAGTTATATATTATTTTCTATGTTAATTATTTCAGTTATTATTTTCATATTATGAATATGTTTTGAGAGAATGATATTTTTTGTTAAGGCAGCTGGACTGGTTCTAGTTTGAAAACCTCAATATTACTGAGATTTATATCACGTGTTTATGTTTATACTAACCTTTCCGAAAAGAAAGCATGCCTAGTCTATGTTTGACAGGTGAAGGGTGGGGAGTAACAATATACTTTTATGAGGATCGTACGGTGGTTTACATCATAGTTGGTGAAGAAGGAGTGGCTATTATTTTCTACCCTGATAGAATAGAAACTTTTATAAATAGAGTAGACTTATGGAGATGCTTACTACCTCGGCTGATGTAATCTAGTCTAAATTAGATGTACTAGTGAATTTGACTTCTTGTCTAATGTATAAGGGTGTTTTAACATATGCCTTCTTCCTTTAACCACTTCTTTAAAATCTTATATTCCTATTCTTTCATTTAAGAGATGATTTAAGAAACAATGTAATATTCTCTATGCTAGCTAGTTATAGAGGATGTTACATCAAGCCATTTAGAACTCTCTTGCAACAACCACCATTCCAAGGCTCACCCTCTTAAATTACCTAAAAATTGAGTATGCAATTAGGAATCTAAGATTTTTAGTAAAAACATCTACCATGTTGAAAGAGGCTGACCATGGTAGAAAGGAAAAATTCAATATGACATTTATCAGATTAGGTGACTTATTGGATGATCCAAAAACAAACAGCCACAGTCAGAAAGTTTCAGTACATTATCCGTATAGTAGCACTAGCAGTCACATGGTCCTCGGGTAAAGCATGACATTAGATATGGGTTAATGGATCCAGCTTAGGTGCTTTAAACAATACAAGGTACCTGGGGCCCAAGCACAATCACAAAAACGCAATTTTTTGTTGAAATTATAGTTTTAAGGTAGTAAAAGGAGGCAAGAGGGAATAAAGACTCTGACTACAACTATATTGTGTTGATATGGTGTTGTAATCATGTGTTACAAAATACTGACCAATGGTTCTATTTATCCTAATAATTAGGTCAAGTAGTAGTGCAGCATTACTAGAACAAGCCTAAGCCAACTAATATAATAAGATTATTAATCCTAATTAAATAAGGAAATAAATCAAGAAATATCCGGAAACAGCTCCTAAGATCGCTTCCTCAATTAGATAATTGATTGACTACACAAAATATTCTGAAGATATATTGTAAGATATTCTAAAACAATCGAAGATATAATTAAGATATTTTCTAGATATTCTAACATTTTTAAAAAAGGAGTGTGGTCTAATACACAGGAAAAGGATAAAATGGTAACACTGGCAAAAAGAACATGAGAATGAAAAGGCAAACTCCAGCTGTTAAATCAAAATTCAAACCAATCTGTTATTTGGGCATCAACTACCAATACCATTAAAATGTTGGCACTAGTTATAATTAAACTTTCTTGCTCTTACCGAAAGTGTAGGTAACGGGTTTCCTATCACGAAGCGAACGCCCGGGAGCAAGCCCATCAACAACCAAGTAATTATCAAGAAGAAGAGCTTGTCTGTGTTGCTTTTTCAGCAACCTCTCCTTTTTCTGTGCCAACATACAAACCAATTTTGTATCAGTCAAAACGCAATTAAGATTCATCAAGGACCATAAATCAAGATTTTTTTAAACAAAAAAGGACAGGATTTTGAGTTCCATTCTCAGGATACCAGATCTTCTCAAATTTCTCAACCCTAGAGTACCTTATGAACTTTCTCAATTTCAGGAAGCATGTCTATCTTCAGCTTTTTCCCCACAGAAACCTCTGTTCTATTTTTACTTGAGAAAAGCTTCTCCTGTGTAAGCAGAAGAAAGAATTGATTGAATTCACATATGACGCAGCTCAATGTAAAGAAAAAGAAGTTACAATTCATAATAAAAGCAGGGGAAGGGTTACATGATTTATTTTTTTTGGTTTTTTTTTTTTTCTTAACTTACTTAGAAAATGAAAAAAGAGCAATAACGGTTAAACCCATCATCTAGACATAAAACAAATATCAGCATTGTTAAAGTTTTATCTATAAAATAATATTGATCACAGATCATATCATCAAACAATTGAACAAGACAATTCCTTCCACATGCATCTGATCTCATTAAATAATTGCGGCAGCAAACTTTGACCTCTGTGGTTCACATTACTAATGAAGACTGTAGTCTAGAAAAACAAGGATTAAACTACAAACATTTACAATGTTTGCTTGTGAGCAAATAAATACCTTTCTGATTAGTTCAGAATTAGTTATTAGGAAACATGCTTAACAAAGATGCAAAGATTTCTTTGGTTTTTGAGAGCCAACCATAACACGACTGCAAACGATTTTGCCTGTCTTTGTGTAAGAACCACTAAAACTAATTAGTTCCCCTAAAGAAACAATATTTACTTAGTTATTTATTAAATTACAAAAAATCCTCATGGGATTTTCAGAAATCAAGCATTATAACTTCATATGTTTGCTTCTCCTGTATTATTGTCAAGGTCTTTTTTGCCTCACAAATATCAAACAGGACAATTGTCCAATTTTATCTACTTATGCGTGTCCAAAGGGTGTGTATCATTTTTTCTTGTTGTAGTCTTATTTCTATATACTTTAGTAAATTTCTCTTTCTAGTATATTACAGTTCTCTTATGCATACAATTAGGAAAGGTTTCAATGGACAATGTTAACCCATAAACAGTTCTTGCAGTAATTTCTGTAACTAGGTCACTCAAGTACTAGTCAAGCATAAAATTCTTCATTCTGCCTATGAAAGCTTCAGAACATATTATTAATTGTTAACAGCCTTGTGAAATGACATTAAATGATGATTTTAAAAAACAAAATTTTAAATAATTAAATAAAATAAATATGATTAAATCTGCAGGAATCTTAGGTGATTTTAATCATGAAAATTTTCATTTTATTTATAATTAGGTTCTGATATATAATTTGTGAATCCAACATATTCGTAATTAAAGAACAATACATAATTTGGATTTCCTAATAAGTTACAGTTTTCTATTTCAAGAAAATTCGATTAGGATATAAGTTGGGGTTTCTAATCATAATAAAATTTGGATTGTTTTGTGGTTCCTGACATAACAACACTATTATCTAATTTACCTTTAAACTTATTGATTCATTATCTAAATAATAAATCTATAACACCAAAGTCCCAACTCCAAGCAAGCCACCCGAAAATTGCCACAACATGCTCACTGTTCCCTGGTATACCACTCATATTAACATGAACATAGATTGACCAGCTTTGCTAACTTACAGAAACATCTTGAAATTCATCAAAATTGGTAGCAACTGCTTCCCACTGGTATGATGTATTAGAAAGAACCTGGGAACCCCTTGCTTTTCCCTTTTTTATTTGAACCACTTCAGTTTTCCTTATTTCTCGATACAACCTATGACCAATAATTGGGTCATCTTCATACCTGCACTAATCAAATTTCAAATGAATAAAACCACAATTAAACTTACATGTACAATAACTTTCTTATTTAACATTCCAAATTTTGACCATGATGAAGAGAAAGCAAAAGTATATTACCAATAAGAAATTCCATGTGAATCACCTCCAATACGCTCTTTACGGAATGTTGAAAGCTGAACACCATGTTTGATTGAGTTGTCAATATAACTTCGGATATCTTCTTGCTGCAAAATATTACTTGAATTTGATCATTACATGACTGGTACAATAGAAAAAGGGGTAACCAGAGTAAGACCATGTCAGCTCATGATGGTCTGTCTCAGCCGATGGGGAATTGTGGATGCACCCAGTGGATTTTGATCTCTTGGGGTCTCAGCTGCCCTGACCCCTTTTAACCACACACCCCCACCCCCTTTAAAAAAAAAGGTTCTTGGAGAATAAGGAGGCTCCATCAGACACAGAAGTCATTGGTCCTCGAAAAAGAAATTGCATGGCCACATGTCTATGTGAACTGTGATACATGACAATACATTGATGCTGACTACAACAACCTTCTTAAATGCAAGCATAACGAATTGGTGTATGATAAAGATGTAAGGGGCATAAAATAATATGCCAAAACAGGGGGCTGCAACAGAACAAAGCAAAAATAGAGATAAAAAGAGACAATGACATGCATAGAACATGATAGCTTTAAGTGTACAGCATGAATGAACTGTGTATAATCATCCAATAAGATTCAAGCTAACATCAGGCAGAGGAGCAATGTCCTGCCATAACAAAGTTCACCCACTTAAGATAAAAGGATATAAGATATAGATAGATGAACATTAATAGTACCTCAACACGAATGTCACATAGTGCTTTTAAGATGACAACTCGGACCCCGGGATGAAGTGATTTATATACTTCAATCTCCGCCCTGTCATATTAGCATAACCTGAGACTTGGGAAAAACATAGATTAACATTCTAGGATTTTAAATATTGCATGAATACTTACCCATGTGATGCAACAATTGGAAGATCCCCATCTGCAACCTGCATTTGAATTCCATCCTCTTATTAGCTCTAGAAATTGTAAAATATACATTATTATCAAATATCAGATTGCTCAGTGAAGGTCATTACCCAATGCCACCAATCTCTCAATTTCCGGCATAGTACGGTTATCCAAGTATCACGTGTGAGTGCCATTCGTGTAATAGGAGGGATTGCCTATCAAAAGGATTAATAAATGTTATTATCAGACCAGTATCAGCTTTTCAGAAAGTACTGATTTTCTAAAGGAATAGACCTTGAGAGAGATCATTGCAGTAGAACTGTGGCTAAAACCACAACTTCAAACACCTCTCTTAAGACATTTGGAACTGTACAGTCACTCACGATAAACAGCCTTGACTTTTCCTCTCTCACTCTGTTTAAAATATTTACCATAACATGATGTCTACCAACCCCCTTATAAGAGACTAATGCAAGATTGATGTTACTACGACATTCAAGCCAAAAACAAAATTTATATAAACACCTGTAAGTTCATGTACCAACACGGTTTTGATCAGTCAATCTCTGTTCATAACTCATTAGATCAGGGACTGGTAGAACAGCCTGGTTCTAATGCAATTTTTTCCCCCATGGAAGCATATAATTTCAATAGAGAGCTAAATCTTCAAACTTTTCACCACATACTTTTCTCACAATATTTGAATCTTCTAAGGAGCTATAGTTCAACTCAGAAACCTCACAGTAATAATTAAGTATAAAGAAGGATCTTGTACCCAAAGTTTTAAAAATTCATCTATTTCGGTCTTTCCCTTTTGTAATCTACTCAAGATGATGCTTAAGCTCTTATATAAACTGTCTAACAAGGTACAAATCACTGTTTTGCAAGAGTAATTTTGATTACCTTTGAAAATGATTGGCAATCAGAACATTAGGAACAGGGCCAAAACCAACACATGGCTAAATGCAGGCAAAGCTTTAAAACTTACACAGATTGTTTTCGATGTTGTAACCACTTAGTACAGAAAACACTATCATTTTTGTTCTTAAACGTTAAAACCACAAAATAAATAAAACTTTATGGTTGCATCCTACTCTTTGTCAGAGAAATGGGCCTATACAGAGCATCACAACAGCACAAATCCCCAATTTACTCATGTCGATAAAAGGAACAATGCAAGTTCATACTTATCTCTTTTAACAGGTAAAGAAAGGGCTTCTCATACTTGCAATAAAAACATCCCAATCAAGTACCTGCTCTCTACTTACCAATCTCTGTCAAAAATGCAATTCAGTCACAAGCAATTATGTCCATCTCGGAATACTATATTTGTCAAGTTCATTGTTACGTAATCAATTAGTAATTTAAAATCAAAAATTTCAAGATTCCATTTGTGATTGCTTCCATCAATTCCCATATTAAAGAAGCCAACCACCCCAATTGAATAAATATTCATCCAAAGTCCCCACTGTTGGGCATTCCTCAAATTTACCATCTGGGTTTGACCCATTCATTTAGAAGATTTACACAAGTTTTCACCTTTTTGTAAAGACATTCCGATATCTTATGGTTACATTTAGGCTTGCACCAAGATTAAATAAGACCAATGCAAAATGACTGTCTGATTCACTCTACTCTCTTTCAAACACAAAGTCCTCCTATGAGCATATAATTACAAAAATCCCACTTCATAACTCTTAAATTTATTTTATAATTAAGCATCTAACTAAACCAGTAAAAAACTATAATTTGCAATTTAAGGTGCAAAGTTAGCTAGTATAAAAATTGCAAAATTAGTAAATTGAACATAAAACAGAAAGAAACATAATGATAGAATACTAATTAAACATCACAACAATCAGTATTAAACAAACTCAATCCGCAAAGATTAGGACCTACATTCATAGAAGAAAGTTGAAACGCCATAAACTTGAACAAAGGACCAAACCAAACCAAATCACAAACTGGAAGAAATAAAATAAAAAAAAACATAGCGAAAAGAGCACCAACCTTTAGCAAAGGCATATGTATATCACTCAAAGTGTCGTTGGGGACAAGAAGAGCTGTCTCGAACTCTTCAGCAGAGAATTCTAGTGAGATATTCAAAAGAGGCCTAAATAGCTGCGACAAAAACACAAGCTTTCAAAACACAGAAAACGCACAAACGCAACCCAACGAGAAAGATCACAACTTTGAAGCTCACATGCAAGAAATTGAGTATGGAAGCTAACTCCCACATGGACCGCAGGTCCCACCGCGGCGACTGCGACGGCGAGGGAGGTTCCACCAACGGCGTAACGATCTTGCTGCATTGCGACGGCTGCGGCGGCGAATCCTCCCGCCGCTGCTCCTTCTTCGAGGCTTTCAGCTTCCGTTCAACCGCCGGCGGTTGCTGCTGCGACGTGGAATAGAGGCGAGACGCGGCACGAATGGTGCACGCGCGGGAGGGGCGGTTGCTCCTGGTGGTTGGGGGAGGAGGAGCGACGGCGGTTTCCTCCTTGGGAGTGGGGGCGTGGTGGTTCTGGGAATCGGAGACGTGGTTTCGGGAATTATGTTCCGGCGACGGCGAGGATCGTTCGCCGGTAACCGGAGGAGGAGATCCGTCGGACATGGTGAGAGAGATCAAAGGGAGGTTTAGGAAAGTTAAGGTGGGATTACATGTAGAGGATCATGGATTAGCATTGAATTGGAGAGAGAAATCAAAGTGAAAGGATTGTAGAGAGTAAAAGAGAGAGAGGGGAAGGACCAAAGGGTCCAACCAAACCCTCAAATACAAAGGTGCATATACCCTATGAGGGTCCTTATGTGAATGTGACTACAAAATAGGGAAAACTCAAACTCTCTCTGCGAAGCAAAGTGAAGAGAGAGAGAGAGAGTGATGACTGGTGGTGATGGAGATGAAGAGGGAGGGACAATACCAGGAATTCTGCGTGAGGTTGAATTTGCTTTCACTTTTGGGTCAATTGGTAAAACCTATCTTTCTGTCGGGTTAAACTGTTAATTGAGTTTATTCTCCTTCCCTTTAAATACTTCAACTTTCTCCAACCCCACAAACAAATAAATATCTGATTATTTACACACATGTAAAAAAAATAAAAAAAAATTGATTAAAAGTTGGGAGAGAGAAACAAAAAACTTTTTTGACTTACATAATGTAAAATTATAATTTCATTTTTTTATAAATTATTTATCAATTTAATACGAAATAAAGCAGGTGCCAATATTTCTAAATTTTGCATTAATAAATATATTTTAGCTTTTAAAGAGTATTTTTTTGAGCAATATTTTTCTTATGTTTTATGATAAAGCATTGTTTCGTATTACGACCCGTTAAAATTTGAGTCTACATTACTTTTCTTTTTTTTAATTGTGGAATTCACTTAATTATGTCTTTACATGAGATAATATTTTCTCATATGAAAATGAATCTTCTCATATTAAAAAAAATATGATATGATCATGTGAAAATATCACAATCATACAAAGATAAATTAATGATTATAATTTTTTAATTATTTATTTCAATATTTTCTCTCTTCCTTTATCATTATTAACTCACCTTTATATGGTATGATTCTTTCACACGATCATGTCATATTTTTTTTAATACGAGAAGATTCAGATGCTTCCTATATAAACTAGTGCAGTACCCGTGCAATGCACGGAGAAAAAAGATCAAAAAAAAATTCGACGCCTGTCGCTGGTTAATCGCTAAAAAAAATAACTATGTTAGTATTTTATGCAAATAAAAAATAGTTATGTACTCTATAATTGATTGTTTTCATATATAGCAATGCATACAACATCAAAAGTTATGAGAATATGAGGTGTAAATTGTCCTACCAAAGAGAAATCATCAAAAATGAGGAAAAGTTCTTGCGCTCAATACTATCCAGAACAATTATTACCCGTCGTGGATACGCTCAATCAATAAGAAGATATCTTCATATACAAAAATCCATATAACAGTAACAGTGATTAGATGCATATTGTCTTACCAAATATAAATGATCAAAAAATAAGTCAAAGTTCTTGTGCTCAATATTATCCAGCACATTGAACAACACCTTACAAAGGCAAATGAAAAAAAAAAACATTTGCTGCAAAAAGAAAAAAAAAAACAACTGTGAATAGAGTAGAAAATAAACCTTCTCCTCTATATTAGTCTTCGATACTTTTCTTTGATTCAACAATACTACAAAATAAAATCAATTAAAACACCATTCAAGGTATCTTCATGGTAACAGTCCTTGGCATAATACGATTATGTTTATCTAACATGTCCTTCAATAACTTACAATTTAGCATAATAACAATTTTAATTTAAAATAATTCAAAATGTTTCTAAAAGAGAAAAATATTTAAGTTTAAGTAGTGTAAACACAAACCTGAGAATGCACGAGGAATTGACACGTCAGCAAACTTGCTAACAAATGATTTTGTTTTAGAATATATATAGATGAGAAAATCATTTCCCAATTTTATTTTATTTTTGGAAAAACTACTCTTATGCAAGATAAGAGTAGTTTATCTCCTATAGACCCATCCAAAATCGTGATTTTCTTTTTTCTTTTTTCTTCTTTTTTTTGTAGATAGTGGGCTCCACCACATGGATCTATATAACATGAGATTAGATGAACCTTTTTTTTTTAGCTCCAATTTTAAGAGGGCGTTTGGTAGAGGAGAAATTTTTTTTTTGTCTGGGAATCTCAATTTTCGGAAATATAATTTTTACATCCAGTTTACGATAATATCTGAAAATTAAAAATTTAGAAAAATTCAGTTTTCCAGGAATCCCCAAGAATCCCGCCTACCAAACGGCTTGAGGTTTTTTTCATTTACAACTCTTTTGCTAAATTTGTCCCATGCTGATAATTACTCCTAGTATAGCCGAAGTTGAATAATTTCCCCTTAATTTCAATAATTTGCCTTATAATGGTAAACAGGTTACAATTTGCAGATTCAGAATGAAAATAAAACGAACTCCCTTTTTGCTGAAAGAAAAGTGAGAAACAAAGAAGTGCATAATAGATCATAAACTCCTACATGGATATTCATTAGTTAGTCATTGTTTGAGTTAATTCATAGGTAAATATGCTTCTTTTATTAAAAAAAGAGAGAGAGAAAAATTTAAGTACATGAAAGGAGCTTTTAACCAAGGATCATGCTTTATGCAAGCATGGGCTAAACCAACGTAGTTTTGCATTTTCTAAAAAAATTGTCAGTTTAATGATTTTTGAAACCATTTCCTTAATTAATGCAGTCCTAAATAGATTTTATTGAAGAATTTCAAAATACAGATTTTGTTCCCCTTAATTTGACTTAAGAAGGGTAAACTTGCAAATTTAGAAGGAAAATAAATCGAATTTCCTTATCTTCTTCTATATGATTTTTTTCATCTAAATCAATTCTTAATGCCGTTAAATATTAGATTGATCTATCCATTTTATCGTAGTGAACAGTAAAAAATACAATAAAAATAAGTGATAAAATATTAAATCATGGGGAGATTTTTGAACTTTTCTCTTTTGATAATTAAAAATAAAAAATTGATGTAAGTAACAATATGCAACTAAACACACTAATAAGGAATATGATCATTATAAATAAAGTGTATTCTATTCAAATATCATCCATATTCCATATGCATGTTTTATGTTTGTCATTTATATGTATCTTTTATCTTTGTGGATCATTGTATTTTTTTTATTTTTTTATATGCATGTAGATGATTGCTAATGAAAAAAATTATTATTATCCTAATAGTTTAATTCATTATAATTCTATCTATTTAATTTTTTGATACATTAAAAACAAATATTTAAAAAATAGAAGATTAAGTTAATATAGATAGAGCACAGATGTTTATATTTTACATATAAAAAAATTAAGAACTCTACACTATCTAATCCTAATTTAAGTAAATTGTAAGATAGCTCAAAAACATAACGATGATGATCTCAATTCTAATTCTTTTCTTGGCATTCAAATTTTCTTCTTCAGTAACAAATTATAGTGGATGTTGAATAGAACACTAATTATTTACATTGGCCATATACCTCAGTAGCTTGTTAGGTTCCATACATTTCCCCATGTCAAGTTTTATTTTTTATTTTTTTTAAGTTGTTGCAAAGGAAAAATTAAAAAAAAAATCCCATGACTTAATATTTTATCACTTACCCTTCTATTTCTCTTTTTTAATCATTTATTCCCCCACATTTTGTTTACTTGTTCATTGAGACAAAATGGATAAATGAATCCAATAATTTTTCTTTAGAAGGTGAATTAATCCAATATTTATCGATATTAAGAATGAACTTTGATGAAAAAATTACAAAAGAAATAAATGATCGAAAAAAATACAGAAAATTAAATGATTTTGGAGCAAATTCCAAGAGATTTTTGAACTTTTCGTATAGTATAAACTCATGAATGGATCTTGATGAGTTAATCATTGTTTGACATAATTCATCTACGTGTAGGTAAATGTGTTTCTTTAATTAAAAGAGAGTGAGAGAGAAAAAAATAATAAAACCATAAAATTTAATTGAAAGGGAGTTTTTAACCAACGATCATACTTTGTTCGAGCATGAGTTTTACAAATGCAGAGGGAGGGAGCGAGAGGCCTTACAAAACTACAGCGTAACTGCTAGGTTTTCTTCTGTGCATGATCTGCTCATCATCATGCATATTGGCTTAAGCTAGATTCGCTTATGTATTATGTTAATCATTACTGTCAATGCTGGAGAAAGGAAACATAATAAATAAAGGGTTTACTGTGTGTCATTTAAAATGATACAAGTTCTGGGCTTGGCCTTCCATTTTTATCAAAAAAAAAAAAAAAAAAAATACAAGTTATGTCTTTTTAGTGACTTATACAAATCTAAAAAAATACTCTTTCTTTTTTCACTTTACACGTCAATGATGTAACTGAACAGAGAAAAAAAAAGTAACTTTTCAGATTTACACACAATATAACCGGTCAAACTTTATGTTGATCATCTAAAAAGACATAAGTTTTTTTTTTTTGTTGGAAATACAAGGAAACATAAATATAACAAACAAAAGAACGTCCTACAGGCGGACGAGTCTGGGTGTAGTAACACACATCATGTCGTTCCTAACTAACACAGAGCAACCGTTAGGAGCAGCTTCAAAAATACATGTGTTCCAATCCAGGCCTAGGGCCTGGTTCGCAAGCCAGTCCGCTACTGAGTTGGCTTCTCTGAAGGAGTGGGAAACAACCATTGTCCAGGGTCTCCGGATGAGCTCTTGGATCCTCTTCACCAGCGGATAGCACGACTTGTGCTGGTCACAGCCATTGTTGATAAGGCTAACCATAGTAGACGAATCCCCTTCCAGCCAGACCTGTTTGAACCCTCTTTCCCAAGCAAGGTCCAAACCCATGTACCCTCCCCACAGCTCAGCCAAGAGAGCGGTACCGCTTCCAAGGTTTTTGGAGAAACCAAAAATCCACCTTCCATCGCAATCTCTTAGCACCCCACCACATCCAATCCTTCTGGTGTTCCCTTTACACGCTCCATCCGAGTTAAGTTTGACCCATCCGACGTTAGGAAAAGTCCACTTAACACCAATCTCATGTTTTGTGTTCAAAGCAATACCTGCAGTAGCTAGAGTCTCCTCTGCAAATCTAACATTCTGGACGAAGTCGCGAGTCCGATAAATGAGGCTGAGGGCATTGGAGGTAGTCCCATTAAACACGAAATTGTTCCTTGCCTGCCAAATAAGCCAGCAGGTTATGCCGAAGGATAGAGACCAGTCTGGTTGCTCAGGAAATATGTTCTTCATGTCCAGGTTATATTTCAGCCACGCCTGAAAAGGGGAGTTGAAGAAGATATCCCATCAATTTCTAGGAACCAGGAAGATCTTGATAGACTTGGCCCAATTACAATCTCTAAAGATATGAGAGCAATCTTCAATTTGAGCATTGCACCTTGGACAGCAGGCAACAGTAGTCTAGTGCCGTCTAGCTCTTTCAGCGTTTGTGAGGAGGTACTCTCCACAAAGTAACCATAGGAACATCTTTATCCTCCGAGGGCCATCCCAATCCTAAGCCACCTTCCAAGAGCAATTATCATGTTCATTATACGGTTGGCTGATAAGATCATAAGCTGATTTTACAGAAAACTTCCCATCGTTAGTTAAATCCCAAATAACTCTATCTCCACCATCATCGTGGCCTGGGGGAACTGTGCTGGCTATCAAGTTAATATATTCTTGAGGGACCAAATGTTGGAACAGATCCCAGTTCCACGTTCCATCTATGGATACATAGTCTATAACCATCTTGTTTATCTCAGCCTCAGGGACAGGTTGGGAGGCTAGGCACGCAAGTTTGACGGAGTTATGGAGCCACTCATCAATCCAAAAACGTGTTCTTGTACCATCCCCAAGTTGAATTCTAGATCCTTGCATGATCAACGGCCAGGCCTCAGAAATACCCTTCCAAAGATTAGAGGCAGATGGTCTACGGTTTATTTTGGGGAGCAAGTCAGTTCCTACATTGTACTTGTTCCTCAACACTCGAACCCACAGGGCATCATTGTTGGTTAGCAAATTGTGCCCTACTTTCATCACCAGGGCTTTGTTCATATTCCTCGTGCATTTCATATTGAGGCCTCCGTTGTCGAAAGTGTTACAGACCCTCTTCCAACTAATAAGATGCATTTTCGGTGGTTAGTCGTTGATCCCCAAATGAAGCTTCTGGTTTTCTTGTCAATATCATCACAGATAGAGGAGGGGATGATGGATGTCTGCATGGAGTAAGTAGGCATCGCATATATGACAACTTTGGCCAGGGTGACCCGCCCTGCCATAGATAGAGCCGAAATATTCCAAGAATTAAGTTTATTATGCACCCGATTGAGAATATGGGCGAAGGAGCTCTTCTTCACACGTCCATGATGGAGGGGTATGCCCAAGTACTTGCCCAAGTCGTCTGTTATTCCAAAGCCAAGAGAGTCAGCAATCTCATTGGCTCTATTAGGGTTGGCGTTTTTGGATAAGAACATCCTGGTTTTAGCTTGGCTAACTTTTTGGCCAGACGCTTGGCAAAACTGATCCAGAGTATTCCTCATAAGGTTCGCTTGATCAAGGGAGGCCTCAGACAAGAGCAAGATGTCGTCTGCGAAGAAGAGATGAGAAATCCCTGGGCCATTTTTCCTAAGAGAAATCGGTTTCCATTGCTTGTTCGCTACAGAAGCTTGAATCATATAGGCTAGCCGTTCGATACATAGGACGAAAAGATAAAGGGAGATTGGACCCCCTTGCCTTAAGCCTCGAGTGGGATAGAAAGAACTAGTGGGAAGCCCATTCCAAAGGAGGTTCAACGAAGCTGAGGAGACACATGCACAAATGACGTTGATCATGTGCTCAGAAAGCCCCACCTCCATCAGAGTGTCACGGATGAAAGCCCAACTAAGGCGATCATAAGCCTTCTCCAAGTCGATCTTAACAGCCATCCAACCCTTTTCTCCACGCTTGCTTCTCATGGAATGGATAATCTCCTGCGCAATAATGACATAGTCAGTACTATGGAGGCCATGGACAAAGCTGCATTGATTAGGAGAGACAAGCTTAGGCATAAAGAGCTTGATCCGATCAGCCAACAGTTTAGACAACATCTTATATACAACGTTGCATAAGCTAATAGGGCGAAAATCCTTGATTGTTTCCGGACCATCTAACTTGGGGATGAGGCAGATGAATGTTTGGTTGACTTCCTGGATTCACTGAGGGTTAAGGAAAAGCTCTTTGATAAGGAGGCCAATCGAAGCTCCAATATTGTCCCATTGAGATTGAAAGAAAACAGCAAGTAGACCATCGGGACCTGGAGCTTTGAATTTTCCCATCTTGAAGACTAATCTCCTGATCTCCTCAGTAAAAGGGACCCTATTCATCCCCGAATGGTTCATTCCATGAACTGAAGGGAACATTCCCCTTAAGGGAAGCTTGGCTCTCGAAGTATTATCCTCAGTATACAGGTTCATAAAGAAAGTTGAAGCAAGGGTGGTTAGCTGGTCCACATTTGACACCCACTCTCCATCGTCATTCTTCAGTGCGTCAATTATATTCCTTCTTCTCTTGGCCACTGTGTTTGCATGGAAGTATCTTGTATTCCTATCCCCATACTTGATCCAACGACTGCGAGATCTCTGGAACCAAGTAAGCTCCTCTCTTAAGAGGATGGTCTCCAAATCTTTCCAAAAGCTTTTACGGAGGTTGACAAGGTTGCTGTTGTACTGGAAGCTAAGATTGTGATCGATGCCCTTTAATCTAGCATCAATGCGAGATTTTGGCGGGGAAGAGTCTTAAAGGAATTATGGTGCCAGTAAGTAACCTTCTCAACAAACTCAAAATAGCCTTGCGCCCAGCACCGATTATTAGTCCAAGCTTCGTTGGCCAGATGACTAAAATTATTGGAGGTTAACCAGGCTTCCATGAACCTAAAGGGTTTTTGGCTCGAAGCCTGCCTTCCAGGATGGTTATCCATCATGATTATGAGGCGGTGGTCAGAGTTGAAGAAGGGGAAGTGAGCAAGGAAAGTGTTGGGCCACTTAATATTCCATTTCTCATTCGTGCAAGCCATATCAAGCCTTTCCTGGAGCCGGCCTCGCTTCCAAGTGAAGCAAGGAACTTGGAACCCAATATCATTGAGCTCACACGCCTGGAGGCACTGCAACATCTCTTGCGCACTACCTAAGCACACCTCTGCACCACCGAGTTTTGCACTACCGTTTGCAACCGAATTAAAATCCCCAATTGCCACCCAAGGAACATTAGGGTTAGGTATAAGACTTTGGAGGTTCTGCCATAAATGGCGTCTCTCCACTCTTCTTGGACTGGCATAAATAAAGGATACCAGAACTGTTTTCATATTGTCCAGGTATTTTATTTCAGTATGAATGAACTAGTGGTTAGTTTGGATTATGCGGATACTAACATCACTTTCATCCCAAAGGATACAGATTCCCCCCGAGTACCCAATGGGATTTTGGATGAATGAATTCTTGAAGCCAAAGTTTCTAACAATCCCTTTGGCTTTATCACCTCCCATCTTGATTTCCAGGAGAGCCAAAACTTTAATGCAATATATGTACTTAAGGTCACAGATTAAATGAAGTAGGCACTTCTTGCCTACCCCTCTGCTTCCAGGAGCTTAAAAACATGGAAAACACGTCAAAAGGGGACGGGAACACAGCCCAAGGGGCCGAAGTTATTCTGCCAGGGGTGGAGGTCCCCCCATTAGCGAGATAACTTGTTTGAGAGCCAACTCATCCTGCTCTTTCGTTGCATATCACATCATGTCAAGGATATCATCCCCACTATTTCACGGCCCACGATCAGTGGCTGCTACCCGCAGTTGGTCCTCCTCCACAGCCATAGTTTCGTTGCTCTGAATGGGCGAGACAACTAGGGTAGAATTAGGGTTCAGGGGCTCGATATTTTTCCCATGTTGGTGCAATTTGGTGATAGAAATCTGAGCACCAGATGAAAAGTTATGATCCCCATTCCCTTTTCTGTTAAAGCTTATCCCATCTCCTATCGTGCCACGTTTCGCCTCTCCCAAGGAAAGGGACTTACCTTGTCTCCCTTCTGTCCTACTTTCAAAAGTCAACTCTTTGCCATTTAGACCCTCTCTGTCAACCTCCTTTTGTCTAGGTAAGATTTTGTGTTTCTGACTGTCTGCATGTCTAGGGCTCTCTTTAGCCTTCTGACCAGAATATGACGTTGCAGATGGCACCCTGTTCCTCGTACCTACATCGGTAGGCGTGCTTTTCCCCGTTCGACCTTTCAACTGACCACTGGATTTTTCGTTGGCCAGAACCTCCGCCGAGACACTGGCTTGTTTCACCAGAATGGCTCTCGGTTTCCTCCCTCTGGCTTGCCGTTTGATAACCATCCAAGTCCCGAACGCTTCATCTTCTTTAACATCTGGATGTTGTGCATTAGCAGCTAGCTGTTTTCTCAGGTTTGCTATCCTCTCCTCATTCTTCTTGTCTGGGTTCTTATCACCTCCCTCCCATTCCTGCGCATTACCCCCAGTTCCTCCTTCCTTGCAAGCATCCCTTCAGTGGCCATACATGCCACAAGCAAAGCACACAAGGTGAAGCCCTTCGTACCCTACGGGGTACACTCTCCCTGCAATCTTAAACTTGGATATAAGGGTCTTCCTCAAATTAACCTCAACGCATATACGTGCGAATTTTGCTTTCTCCGTTATCTCCCCTTCTTCCCCTTCAACCTTTCGAATGGAGTTTCGGTCCACTTTCAGAGTCCTACCGAAGATACTGCCTAACCTCCAAAGGTGGTGGGAGGTATACAGTTCGAGGGGCAGGCCAGGAATACGTAACCAAACGGCCATCTTCTTCAGGGATTCATCATAGGGGTCAAAGAAAGGTCTCCATCGTTGGACCACAACATAGTGATCTGCCACAATCCATGGCCCTTCATGCAGCACATGTGTGTAGTCTTTCAGGTCGTTGAACTTCACAAGTAAATAGCCATTATCCATATATCGATAACATTGAAAGACCATTGGGGTTCCACATCTTCACAAGTCTGGCCATTAGAAACTTTGATCCTAAATTCTTTCCTAGCAGTTTGATGATTAAGGATGACCTCCACTTCTTGCAATCTTCCTTGTGTTCAGCCCTTGAGAACTTGTAGGAGGGACACAAGGGGTCTTCATCTTCCTCACCTCCTATTTCATCTGGGAGGTCATCTTCCTCCTCATCTCTTCTTTGTTGGGCCATCCAATCCTCTTCCTCACTATCTGAGACTGAGCCACTCCTATTTAGGCACAAAAGCTTATCCTTGTAGGAAATCACCTTCCTGCTACCCCTTATAACCTCATGTCCGTCCTTCTCCGTACAAGGAACTACTGGTTGAGCCTCTTCTCCTACTGCCTCCATTTCCAGCATTGAATCATCCATCGCAGCATCTTCAATGGCTACCCCTTTCGGTTTTTTAATGCTTCACTCACAAAGGTCCTTTTCTTCCGTTGACAGACCTCCACTAGACCTTTCTCGCCGTTCTTTATCCATATAAAGACTTTCAAAGTAGGTGTTTTTTACCAACAGTAGGCGTTTTCTTAAAAATTAAAAAAAAAAAAAAAAAAGACATAAGTTTATGTCCTTTAAAATGATACTTATTTTTTTCATAAATAAAACACAACCATTATTGGGTGATTTTGAACAAGCTTAGCCTCCTACAAATTGGTAACTAGAAGCCACGTTCGTTCTTTTCATTCAATATTTAAAGAGAGGTGTTTGGAAGTAGAGACAAAATAAAAGGACAAACTACAGTTACCAAGGCTCAAAGAAAATAAGAAATACTCATTAAAGCTGTTGCCAAAGCCAAAGGTACTAGCCTACTCTGTAAGTTTTGTCATAGGCTAATATTTTTTATTTTAGTGTAAAAAAAAAATTCTATTATACTCGTATAAAAATAAGCAGAGCTTATTATGTCATAATTTTTTTTCCTTCTCCTTATAATAAAATTCACTTATTTTTATACGAGTGAAGAATAAAAACAATTTACGTGGTAAAAGCAGAATTACTTTTTCGTTTGTCAAATTGCTGCTCTCTTTATGTAGAGAACTTGACCAGTTAGATCTTGGCAGGATTCTGGTGGGGTCACAATACGAATGAGTCCTAAAATCAAATGTGTTTTATATCAGTATAGAGTTTAAATTTTTTGGTTAAGAATTTCTTCTGTAAACCTAATAAACTTTTATTCTACTTATTATTCACGTACATAAAAAGTCAACGATGTTATTTATGTATAATTTTCATTACATTATTTTGAACAGAAATTTTAATTAAAAAAATAAGAAAAAAATACTATAAATTTTTTTGGTCATTGAATGAAGAAACAATTTTGCTTTTCTAATTAGGTAAAATATACTTGACAGTATTTTATCCTCATGCATGAGAAATTTATTCTATTCAGATGGTATACTAATATATTTCTATTGACTTCGTTTAATTATACTTATATAATAGTTTAGTAAATAGCAATGGTGCATATTTTATTATAAACCAATAAATTTTTTTTTTGTAATAATCAAGCTTCGCACACAAAAATTGAAGTCGAAACTTTTAAGTCAACGTAGTTTAATCATTTTAGTTGGACTAATTATCATGAACTAAAATTCTTTTCTTTTAGTGACGTAGATAATAACATAATGATGAATTCCTTTACTATGTACACTTAATAATTGATCTTTCACTACATAGTTAGTAACATCATGAACTACAATGCATTTATCTTCCACTAATTAATCACACAAAACCGAAAAAGGAGAACTAACGGGTGAATTAAATATTCTCTTATCAATACGTATTGTACAAAGATCATAGTATATTATATGATCATGCACTACACAAAACCCATCAAAAGCAACAAGAAAGATGAAAGCTGCAGAAACATATATCCAGAAAAGTTACTCCAACGGTTTGCATGAGATGGAGAAGGAGAAGGAGGAGTAGTAGTTGTTGCCTTTTCCTGTGAGCAAGCATAATTGCAGCGACTTGGAGGAACAACTCGGTAAACACCATTGCTTGCAAGAACATAAACATCTTTCTTGTTGTCTTCCCCAAATGAATAGATGTAGCCCAGAGCTGGAAGGGAGCTTCCAGGTATAGAATCACATAGGATAGGAGAATCATGGGCACAACTGACAGGGATTTTGCTAGTTGTGAAATTTCCACTATTTTCTGGGTCTTCTATGGCTGACCACATTGCACCCGCATAAAGATCAGCATATAAGTACCTGAAAAGCAGTGATTAATGAGCAATAGCTGATTATATTGCACACATGGTGCTATTTGTTCCTGTTAGAGAATTATATAAATCATTGATGGTCTTCACTTAATAGCTTAAGTTTTTGGGATGAATCAGTTCTTTACAAAAGCTTAAGTTATTGGATGAATCTATCTTAATGGTTTTATACTTTTCTAACACGCCGTTTCACACGGGAGTCCACTGTGTTTGAAGAGTGGACAATGCACAGACCCATCTACTTATACTGATAAACTTCACAAGACTTAATTAATTATTGATTAAATGGGGGATGGTGAGGATCGAAACCATGACAACGAGACTCTTATACCATGTAAAAAATCAATTCGACCCAAAAGCTTAAGCTATTAAGTGAATGGTTTATATACTTCCCATGCTAGACTTTATGTATCATGGGGATGTTTAGTGAACAAAAATCTTGTCCTAATAAATATAATTTGTTGTATTCCTCAACCAAAGAGTTCTTTATTTCCTTACAGGCTCTTTAACTAAATATGTTGAAAATCAGTTGAAGGGCCATAAAGGAAAAGAAAGCTTGTGTACCTTCCATACATGCAAGGATCAGTCCTAGATCGGTAGATATAACCCCCAGTGATGGATGCTGATCCTGCATTCTTGTTTACTGCAGAATGGTTGTATCCCGATATTGGGAAAATTGGATTCATGGAATTTATGGAGGTATTGCCTCCAGGTGACTTTGTAGGAGTGAATAGATAGGGTCCCTCGTAAACACGCCAGCCATAGTTTCCACCCTTTGTGATGAGATCCACTTCCTCGTAAAGATCCTGCAAAGTCAAATGTTTCACTTTTAACTTTTTTTGTGGTAGAAGTTCTAGTCATATAAAACTGTAGACTTCTGCTTTCTTAAATTCTCTTCATCGTGAAGCATATCAATAGCTCCAATTTATGTAGGGAAGTTAGCAGTACTGTAGTAACAAATACAGAAAGGCCTATTGATGACCTTGCTATACAATGCTATGATTAGATTTATTTTGTATTAAATTGTTTTGTACTAAAAGTGCTTCTGAAAAAAAAATATCTTAAAAATTAAGCAAACTCGCATTTGCACTAAATAGTAGAGAGAAATGATTAAAGGATATTATGAGTCAAAGGCCGGTGCTTAAGACTTTTTATTTGTATAGGTCTCTCAAGAGGATTAAGGAATCAAAATTTTCAGAAACTCTTGAAGTTTCTATGCTGAAGAAATTGGCAACTATTTGTCACTTCAGACAGAGGCAGGCACTCTTTCATTCTCTTGGCAAGCTGAATTGCTGATTGCATAACAGTGCTATATAAATTTAGTACCATAAAGTTTTTTTTATTATTACAAGAATCTATAAATTTATTTTAGGATAAGAATTCACAAACCTGCCCAACATCTGCACAAAAAAAGTAGGAAGGTCTTTCTGAATCAAAACTGCATCTCCAAGGATTTCTTAGTCCCAAGGCAAATATTTCAGGTTGCAGATCTTTATCTTCGCTGAATGGATTATCCTTGGGAATGGAATAGCTGCCCCAAAGGCCAAGATTGCTAATTTCTGCTGCACCTGAAGATTCATGATGGTTGTCATTGTTAAGAGTGAAGAAAAAAAAAATTGATAGTGCCCAATAATGTTTACAGTGCTCGTAGAAATGGAGCAATGAAAAAGAATAAACTTTACATTTTCTTTTTACCATATTACACTGGTACAAGATTCCCTAGAACTCATTTTATTGTGTGACCAGCATTTAATCAATTAAATGGTGGAACATTTTAAAAGAAGTCCTCAAGCTTCTACTACATTAGGGATGTCAATTCTATTTAGTACTCACTTGGATTGTTATCTATATCAAGCCTCATAATCTTTCCAAGCAATGATTTCTTGTTTTGGGCAAAATTGTATGGATCACCTGAACCTCCTCCATCTCCCATCATGAAGTATAAATATCCATCATTAGGTCCGAAGAGTATCTGACCTGCATGATGAGATGTAAATGGGAGACCCATGGTAAATATCCTTCTCACCTCTGTTGGTTTAGCACTTTCTGCCTGAAAAAAATCAAGAATAATTTAGTTCTATCCATTGCATTAAACTAATTATAGTAAATACATTTTTATGCTGTGTAGAATGTTTACCGAGGATGGCTTAGATGCAGTACCATTAGCAGTGTATTCTGCAACAACAGATTGATATTGACATGGTTGGGCACCATTATCAGCTCCTAGCTTTGATGGATCACAATTAACATTTGAATTACATGAACATACCCCATTACATCCTGACCACTTATTTTTATCACAGTTAAATGAAGCAAAGAATCGACCATTGTTTGCAAAGTTTGGATGAAATGCCATGCCCATCATTCCAAATTCACTATCAAAATAAACTTGATCAGTTAGATCAACAAAGGGAGTTGATTCATCAAGCTCCAATTGTCCTCCTGATCCCACATCCGGAATAGTTGCCAACCAAACCTTACCCATTTGATTAGAGAAAAATGCACGGTTAGAGCCATCAGGATGAGCAACCATATTGAGATAAGATCCATTCCCAACTTTCTCAAGGCACAAGCCATGAGGGGGATTGATAGGAGTTCCGGTGTTATTTAGTGCAACAGTTTCTCCTTCAAAGCATACTGATTCATTATTGGAGACTCCACCAAATGCATGACAAAAATCTGTTTTGGACTGCCATAATTCAGTCAGTTTGGTTGCATTGGTATTAACCGGTGTTCCTCCTGTTTGACCTTGTAATGAAGGGGGAAATGGTGAGTTTATTATTGACACAGTTTGACATGTATCCCATACTTCAGAGCAGAAGTCTTGCACTGCTGCCTTTGACTGAGAAGAATTTGTTGCAGAATTGCAAAGCACAGGAACTGATCTGGGCGAGGATTGAACTGTAAATAGCTCAGCTGAAAATGGGTCACACCTCTACAAACAAACGTAAGTTAGCCAAGGCAGAAGTTATGGGTTGAGATGTGAAAAAGTGGTTTTACTAGTAGAGGTGACAAAACATTTGTTTGAGAAATATGATATAAAACCATTAATTCGCTTAAGCTTTTGGGTTGTAATGATTCTTTATATGGTACCAGAGATTATGTGACACGAGTTGAATACTTATCACCTCATTCTATTAATAAATAATTAAATATTGTAGAATTTCTTAGCACAGATACGTGGGTATATGCATTGTCTATTCTTCAAACTCAATGACTCTCTTATGAGAGAGCGTATTAGAGAAATATAATATAAAACCATTGATCTGAGCATCACCTAACGGCTTAAGTTTTTGGGTTGAAACGGTTCTTTACAATATCAAAGAGCTCAAGCGACATGTTGGTCAAATTCCTCTATCATACTCATATACCATTAACGATTTAAAATCTAGTGATTTATCTATGTTGAAAAATTGAGAAGGCTATTGAGCCTCAACAAGAAAAACTAAACCTCACCGCACAAAGTATTGATTTCAAAAGAGAGGCACAACCAGGATCAGATATGTTCATCAGCTGGAATTGCTTCTGTATTTGTGCACCTTCTGTGGTGTTGCAACACGTGCTTCCATTGTAAGGGCAAAATCCGAGTGTGGTATTGAGGGTAAAGGGTGCTCCTACACCACAAAAATAAAAGAAAAAGAAAACATGTACATCTATAATGAAAAACCAAGGGGATAAAACTCAAAAGGTAATGGGAAAAGAAAAGATAGACAGACTTGAATCAACGCACAGAGGAAGTGAAGTTGAAGAATCCAAAAGCAGCAGGAAGCAACAAAGCAAGAAGCTAATATAAAGAACACCACTTTTCATGGCACCAAACCAGTTGAAAGCCTACTACAAGAATATCATATGTACTTCAATTCACAAACATCTCAGAAGTCAGAACATGGTCCAAACTTTAGAAGCATTAGTGGTAGGTTGACAAGATGGAAAAAGAGAAGAGTATTTACCCGAAAAAAGCTTCCTCAAGTGTTGAACTTTCCTGTTGCCAACTATTCTGTGTCTTGAGTCTCTCTTTTACGTGATGTCCTCTCACTCAGATTTCAGTTTTCTAATAAAACAGTCACTTTCAATATCTTTCACTTTTTTTTTTATTATTCAAATATGAACTCCAATTAAATCAGCTTCCATAGTTTCATTCAACCATCTTAATAAAAAAATAATAAATTACACCCCTCAACTTGCAGTGTAGAAGTTGTAAGCCTTAGCTTCACTAGTTGAAGAAGAAATGAGGCATCAAGTGGATGGTGTCTGCGCTCTGCAGTTGACTTTTTGATCAATTAATACTTAAATTATGAACATGGCTTAGAGAAACTCGGCATCTAGAAAACAAAGTGGGGAACATTTGGTTGGTTTCATCGTAGAATTTCACTTGGAACAGACAGGATCTAGGTACTTCATATCTTATTGGCCCACCACTGTTAGTTATTAGTAAAATTAATGTATTATCTAGTGCTGTGTTCATGTCCTGCAATAATTGCACTGTTTTAGCTGAGTTTCTAAATTCTAACCCAACCACCAAGGCCTAAAGCATCTCCATATCCATATTCAATATGTAACAGGCGTAGTCCATACGGGATTACCGCCGGTCAAATAAATAAAATAACAAAGAGAGAGAAAATCATCGACAACCAAAGATATAATGAGTGACGTGTAAATTGAATCCAAAATAGAAGCTCATCATTGGATTAAAATTACAGTTCATCATCACATGCTCATTGTTGTTGTTGCCCACTCTCATCCAATTAAGAGCATTTGAATAGGAATACCAAAAAAAAAAAAAAAAAGAGCATTTGAATAGTTCTACCTCTACGTCAAGATGTACCCACGTTTAGCACTGGCACAGCCGCACAGGTCTTAGAGAATATTCTTCCGAGTGTTGGTAAGGGAAATATTATTTGTTTGCCCAACTCCATGAGCCTACGACCTTTTGTTTTTATATTTACAAGCATAAAATGCACATAGTTTTTAAGGTGAAAGTTGCATTTTATGAAAAAGTAAAGATGATGAGAAATACGCATTTTATCATCGAATCATGTACACTCAAACCATTAAAATAAGTTTGACAATCACAATCACCATCTAAGTTGTAATTCTTTTTAGTAAAATGTCAACACGTAATTGAAAAACAATGTATAAAACTATGAACTAACGGTGCATTACTTTAAACTCTAGTTTAAGAGATAAAAAGCGAGATGATTAGAGTCGCAAAAGAGAGTATACAAGGTCTTAAATAGACTTTATCATCAAGAATAAAAAATTGAGCTAGTTCACGTGAGAAAGATCAGTTGAACATAAAATAAGTAAACTTCATTGCTCACACCATCCCTCTCATGTGGTTCCGCCACTCACAGTGATCTCAACCATCAAGTGCACCAAGGGCTTTCATGTCCTCTAAGAAAGCCGTATATGAGTCATCGATGCTCTGTACTTTTGGAGCTGATGAGGAGCTCACTGACTCTGGTTTTACAATAGTTGGACCTGATGTCCCAGAGATTGTCCTAGAGGTTGGCAGTGACGGTTTTGGTTTTGTTTTAGTCAGTGCAGTCTCTCTTCTAACTCGAACAGATGCAGGAACCTGGTCAAAAACAAGTTATAAACTTAATTAGAAAAACTACATAACCAAAGAGATTGAAACGTTAACTATCCAAGCACAAACAATTATTCTGACCTGGACTCATCTATCACCATCAGACTAACTAACAGCATAATAGCATTTTCTTATTATGTATTCAGAAAAGCTTATAATCAAAAAGCTAATGAAAGAACTTTTACTTGAAAAGCTGTTTTTGTTCAAGAATAAAGCTAACCTACCTAAATACAGATTAGGAGAATGAAAAAGAAGAATAAAATGCAAGAGCCAAAATAACAGCAAAGATAAAAAAAATAATGGAAAACTCAACATACCATAGCTGTAAGTTCTGGAGTGTGCTGAGCTAATGGCCTTTTAACAACCGTAGAAGCAGCAGATTTAACATATGACGGTTTCTGGGGTGGAAGTGGCCTAGTTGCCACATTATCCTCTTCCTGGAAGTTCGGAGGAGGACCAGGTGGAAGTGGCGGTCTCATCATTGGAGGCCCAGGTGGAAGGCCATATGGTGGCCTCGGAATCAGGGGGACCATCATTCCAGGAGGTGGTGCCTGACCAGGGAGTCCAGCCACAGGTAAAGGAGGCCTCATATCAGGTGGTGGTGGTGGTGGTGGAAAACGAGATATTCCAGGGGGCAAAACATCAGGCGGTAAAGTTGGGATTAACGAGGGTCCTGGAACAGGGGCTTGTTGCCTTGGAGGAGGAGGTCCAGGAACCATTTTTGAAATCTCCTGACTTGAGAGAGAATTCTTATCGTCAATAGTAACCACAGCACCATCAGGTGGCATCCGACTTGGAGGAGGAGGTGGAGGCAGCTGCACCTACATATTAGAAAATACATTACAGCCTAAGAAGCTTCTTTTAGGAGAATAATAACAAGTCCCCGATTTTAAACTTAGAACAATCAAATGTAATGTGTTCCCATCGGGCAACCATGTAAATAAAGTGTCTACTAACTTCCCATCTATGAAGCATGAAATCACAGAAACCTGAGTCATACCTGAATCGAAGATCAGATACACATACACATACAAGAGACAACAGCATACTTATCTGTCCCTTTTTAAACTCAACCATTTCAAAATGTCCATAATGTGTAGGAAACATATTTTGAAATGTTTTATAACACTGAAAATTGGTTTTGAAGTATGCCAAAACATGATGAAATAGACTAAAACTTGTCCGCAACCCAATAAAACATTAGAATTTGTCTTAGGTGCTTTCTAGAACGAGAATATATTACTATTATTTTGTATCATTATGTGAGCAAACATATATAGTTTTAACATTTATTTAATATTCCCTGCCATACCCACATCCTAGATTTATATAAATAACAGTATCCATATACTGAATCATTCTGGATAAAATACAACAGCAACGGTGCTTCTAAGCTTTCAATATATCTATAATTCCTTGTGCTTCAATATGGTTACAATCAGATCATACATTTACAAATAAAGCATAAACCATTTAACTAGACACAAGCCTACCTGACCAGGCTCCTTGGAAGGTGAATCATCTGTCAATGCAGACTGATTTCTCTCTTCACCACCACCGGTGCCAGGTGGAGGTGGCTGAGACTGTTGTAGGGGCGGAGGTGGAGGGGGTATAGGGTGATTTGCAACTTGCTCTTTGGGTGGGGGACCAGGAGGTGGAGGTGGCAAAGGAGGGGGTGGTAACGATGTAGGCACAGCAGAAGCAGGCTTTGGAGGCATAGGAGGTGGAGGAGGCAGTGGCAAAGACGCAGGTAAAACAGTGCCATCTGCTGAATTTGTACTGCTACCATCAGGCAGTGGAGGCGGCGGCGGCGGTGGGGGTACGGCTAACACATCATCCTCTAACTCAGTCGCCGATGATGATGCAGCAGTACTTGATGAAGCACCAGACAAAGGAATTCTGGGTCCTGCAATTCAGCACAAAAGTTGACTAAATAAGGGAGATCTGGCAAACCAACATCATTTATAGATCCATGATTTTACCAGACAAATATGAAAAAGAAGCTGAGCATACCTATAGACGATTTAAACATAGGAGGTTTCCCTGGTGGTGGAGCTCCAGTAGGGTTTAACGTAGGATGGTAATAAACAGAATCCTGCAGTAAAAATTAGCTAACAACTCAAAACCATTAACAACAGCTACACCAGTCTAGTTTTGTATGTTTGGAAGAAAGAGGAAAAGAAATAAAACATAAACGCATGCACGCATACAAACAACTTAAATCCTACCTCAGGCTTTGGGTGCTTAACTCTCTCTTCTTCTTCTGCAGATGTTCTCCTTCGAGGAGGCCCCAAATGACTGCCCAAAAGTCATCCTAGAATGTGTAAAGTTCACAAAAACAAATTGGGCATACACTAATCTTTCAAAATAACATGAAGACTCCTCACCTGAACATAACAGGAGCCTCACCCTTCTCCCGCATTTTCTCTTCATATTCCTGTCCAAAAAGATTACAATTGGATCATCAATAATAACAATTAGTAGAAACTATTTAACCAAATAAATTTAGCATGCGATTGACAGGAGTGTTCAGGTAGACTGAATTTTGAGTCAACTGCTATTAATGCAATATCAAACATGATTCATGAATGTCCCATTTCCATAAAGTTCCAGTTTTGCCTTTTGCCACTCAAGACTTAAATTGCAGTTAAAAAAGGAGGGTCTGTCTGAAGTCTGAATTTAACAGCAATCCATAACATGTTTGTTTTAATAGAAATCCATTACAGATTGTAACTACCAACGCACAAGCTTTTATATTGGTCTAAGAAAAGATCAACTACTACTTACATATTGTGATAAACCCAAGACGGCCCTTCAGCTACTCCTAATGGTAGTTGCCTATGGACAAGAAGGTACATCAACCAATGTGCTTGTTATAACTGGTTTTCAGAGGCACGAAATTAGCAATCACCCCATATGTGATAACATATGGTTTTCAATCATGTTGAAGAAAAAAGAGACCAAAGACGATAAAAAACTGAAGAAAAATTTTGCATCACAACAGGCACATTGGTCAATGCTGCTGTGGATTACAATGAAATTATTATTTTTCATTCACTGACAGTATTCCGTTTGTATCACACTCTGATAAACAACCACTTAGAGACTGTGATAAACTCAAGCAGATAATAAAGCAAAGCAATATCAGATAATAAAGCAATATAATCCAACGAAAAGAAAATACATTATATTTAGTTATTACCTTCCTCTTCTTTATGACAAGATTAAGTGTATCCTGTAGCTGTCTCTTCTTGTGCTTTCTTGCTTTATCCAAAGCACCATCAGCCTCTGCCACAACCAACAATGCACAATTAATTTGAATAGTTGAAAGCATCCCAAAAGACATCGCACTTAATTTATACTACTTATGCCCGGCAAACAACTCTAGTCAATTAATTGATCAATATATCCGGCAAGCAAAGAATGAACACGAGGTGAAAGATATAAGACTGGACTTCACCACTTTCCAGTGCAGCAGAGGCTTTGTAAAGAAAACATACTTACTCATCATTTCCAAGTTATCAATCTGCTTCTTCAGTTGTTCTGGGTCCTTCTTCAAGATCCCCACTTCCCTCACCTTCTTTCTTTCTTTCTTATTCTGTTAACCAAAAAGTAAAAGGAAAAAAACATAAAAAAAATCATGAGTTGAATCCTTCGAAAACACAAAGCAAATAATATCCAATTAGCGGAAAAAAGAAATCTCAGTAAATAAAGCTAGGTTCAATTCATTGGAATAGCTCCTCGAGCTAAAAAAAACTACTGCCAACTTTTCTTTTTGATATGTACAATAACTACTAGCATTTTGAATCAATTGGTTGTGGAATGGGTAGAAAGAATACCGCAAGGCATAAATTAGGGCATGAATTAGGGAAAAAGAGGAACAAATCTACATTAAAAGCAAGAGAGAAAATAGGACGTGGGCGTGAGTTGAGAAAGAGAATAATACCCTTTTCAATTCCTTCTTACGAAGCTCCTTTCGGTAAGCATCGGTAGGGTTCATAACCTTGCCTCCCTTCGTCGTCTTCATTCTTGAATACTGAACCCTTTCAGAAGCTCCTTATTCTTCTTCCAAAATCGAAACCCTTTCCCCTTTTCTTTCTTTCTTTCTTACTTTCTTCTTGCACGATTTCAATTGTGAAGGAAAGGAACAGACCCACAGAGTCACAGAGACAAACAATTTAAACTTTAAAGAAATACGATTCATTCACGCACTAACCCTTTGTGAGTTGAGAGGATTGTATCTGCAAGCTTTGCGTTCCGACACAGTGATAATGAGAGCCCGGCCCAATAACCTTTTTCCTCCTCTTATTGGGCTTGTAGGCCTGGGTTTAGCCCGGCCCATTCATCCACTTATTTAATGTTTTTTTAACTTTTTTTTTTTAATATTAAGCTTAAGTGAACTTAGACATTGTTATCTCGCTAGGATTAGATAGAAAAAACACCCTAATCTATTTTCAGAAGAAATTATATATGATCTACTAATAAAATTCTCACATTAAATAATGAGATTTCAAATCAAACTTTTATAAGATATGACCAAACCCCTTAGCCAACGTTTCCTTTACAGTTACTCAAATTGTTCAACCACGAGTGGTTTGTTTGCAATTAAACTTAGACTTTAAGCCCCTTTTATTAGATAGAGATAGAGATATATAAAGAAACAGAAAGAAAAATAAAAAGGCGAGAATCAAATTTTTATGAGGTGTGTGCGAGACATGTTAGTATAATTATCATTACTATAGAGTTAAAACTTGGACATTTAACCTTCAAGTGAATTAATTTTTATAGCCACATAGTCATGTTTTTCAGACCAAAACAAAATAATATAACTTACTTAAACCACTCACCACTAGACCAACCTAGCGGTTTAACATGCTTTCACTTTAAAATTAGATAACAAAAAAATTTAATTTTATGTTATTTTGTTTGTTTGATTTTTTTTTCTCAAATAATATTAACGATGTGAAAAAAAATCAAATGAACAGAAATAATCTATAAAATGATCCAAATCACATCAAAAGAATAACATATTTTAAACTGGTTTAAGAATCGAACTAATTTTTTTTTTGCACCAATTCAATAAAGCAATGGCAAGGGTAACAAGAAAAATTATCCACCTGGTCACCATTGCGGCAAAATGGATCACCCGCCATTCAGATGTTGGAGAAGATCAGATGCAAAGTGCAGCAACTGCAATCAGCTTGGACATGAAGCTATCATCTGCAAAAGCAAAATCCAACAGCATGAAGTTAATGCCCAGGTCATTAAGCAAGACGAAGAAGATCAGATGTTTGTGGCAACATGTTTTTCAACTAGGAGTAGTTCATAATGCTGGTTGATTGAAAGTGGTTGTACAAACCACATGACACATGACAGAACTCTCTTCAAGGATTTGAAGCCTACTAAAGTCTCAAAAGTCAAAATTGGGAATGGCGGCTATATTTATGCAAAAGGAAAAGGAACCATCCTATTTTCAACAAGTTCAGGAACAAAGGTAATCTCCGATGTTCTTTATGTACCCGAGATTGACCAAAATTTGCATAGTGTAGGCCAGTTGATAGAGAAATGATTTAAAGTATCCTTTGAAAATCAGCGCTGCCTTATCTTTGATACTACTGGTCGGGAGATTCTAAGGGTTAAAATGAAAGGTAAAAGCTTTTCCTTTGATCCAATCGAGGAGGAACAAGCAGGCTATTTCACTCAAGTCAGTCCCAAAGAACTCTGGCACAAGAGACTTGGTCATTGTCATAGTTAAAGAATGCTGAACATGAAGAAGAAGAAGGATATGACAAGAGGTTTGCCAGTACTTTCTGAACATTTGCCAAATTGCAATGCTTGTCAGTTTGGTAAACAAAAAAGAGTGCCATTTCCAAAATCAGCCTGGAGAGCCTCTCAAAAGCTGCAACTAATTCATACTGATGTGGCAGGACATCAAAGAACTCCATCATTACAAGGTAGTCTTTACTTTATTCTTTTCATAGATGATTATACAAGAATGTGCTGGATTTTTTCTTGAAATTCAAGCATGAAGTAGCTGGAGTATTTATGAAATTCAAGAAGATGGTAAAAACTCAAAGTGGTTGTAACATTCAATGTATAAATTCGATAATGGGAAGGAGTATACCTCAGCACAGTTTGATTTATTTTGTGAATAAGCTGGCATTCAACATCAACTCACAGCTCCATACACTCCAGAGCAAAATGGAGTTAGTGAAAGGAAAAATAGATCGGTAATGGAGATGGATAGATGTATGCTGCATGAGAAGGGTTTGCCAAAACAATTTTGGGCAGAAGCAACTAACACAACAGTCTTTCTTCAAAATCGACTTCCAACCAAGGCCTTGAAAGATAAAACTCCTTTTGAGGTTTGGTATGGATATAAGCCTTCACTTACCTTCTTTAAAGTGTTTGGTTGTATTTGTTTTGTACATGTTCCAAAGGTTAAACACAACAAACTTGACAAGAAGGCAATTTCGGGCATTTTTGTGGGCTATAGTTCAGTTTCAAAAGCCTATAAAGTGTATCATCCTCAAACCGGAAAGATGACTGTCACTCGAGATATGCATTTCAATGAAAATCAGCAATGGGATTGGAAGAATCCATAAAAGGAAATTGGATCCTTCAATACCAGTGAAGATAATTATCCCAAAAAGCAAACAACAGAGTTGTGTCATAATGAACTAGAAGATGACCCTTTAATTTGAGGCAGAAGGTTGCTGTCAGACATCTATCAAAGATGTAATGTAGCAATATGTGAACCTATTAGTTGTGAGGAAGCGTTAAAAGACCAAAAATGGAAGGATGGGGAGGAGGAGATGTTAATGATTCAGAAAAATAAAACATGGGAGTTGGTTGACAAGCCTAAAGATAGAGAAGTCATTGGAGTTAAATGGATTTTCAGGACAAAGCTTAATGCAGATTGCTCAGTCAACAAATACAAGGCCAGACTTGTAGTTAAAGGGTATGCACAAATTTTTGGTGTTGATTATTCTGACACTTTTGCTCCCGTGTCCAGATTAAATACAATCAGATTGGTGTTGTTGGTTTATGCTCAAAGGGCTGGAAAGTATTCCAATTAGATGTCAAGTCAGCCTTTCTAAATGGAGTTTTACAAGAAGAAATATATGTGGAGCAGTCAGAGGGATTTGTAAAGGAAGGTGAAGAAAATAAAGTCTATATACTAAAAAAGGCTCTCTATGGCCTAAAACAAGCACCAAGGGTATGGTACAGCAGGATAAATGATCACCTATTGAGCATAGGCTTTGTAAAAAGCTCATCTGAGTCCACTCTTTATGTGAAACACAAGGGAAATAATCTTCTCATAGTTTCCCTCTATGTTGATGATCTATTCGTGACTGGAGATGATATAAGGTTCGTTGAGGAGTTCAAATAAGATATGATGCAAGCTTTTGAAATGATAGATCTTGGTCTCATGACTTATTTTCTAGGAATTGAGATCAAACAAAGTGAGAATAACGTGTTCATCTACCAGAAAAAATATGCAAAGGAAATATTGAAGAAATTTCTAATAGAGGAGAGCAAAGCAGTTAGCATTCCAATCAATCAAAAGGAGAAGCTAAGCAAGGAAGATGGTGCTGAAAAAGTTGATGAAGGATATTATAGGAGCTTGATTGGTTATTTAATGTATCTCATTGCAACAAGGCCAGACATTCTAGTGGTTGTAAGTCTCCTATCTCGATTTATGCATTGTGCTAGTGAAATGCATTTAAGAGCAGCAAAAAGAGTACTGAGGTATATTAAAGGCACGGTTGATTATGGTTTCAAATTTGAGAAATGTCAAGAATTCAAGTTGTATGGATTTTCTGATAGTGACTGGGCTGGATCCATTGATGACATGAAGAGTACTTCAGGATATTGTTTCAGTCTAGGTTCAGGAATTTTCTCACGGTACACAAATAAGCAGGAAATTGTAGCACAATCCACTGAAGAAGCTGAATTCATAGCAGCAACTGCTGCTGTAAATCAAGTTTTGTGGTTAAAAAAAGTTCTATATGATTTACGTATGCAGCAGAATGATAACTTATAAATTTTCATTGACAACCAGGCAGCAATTGCAATTTCAAAGAACCCAGTGTGTCATGGGAAGACTAAACATTTTAACATCAAGCTCTACTTCTTAAGATGGATGCAGCAAAATGGAGAAGTGACTTTGGTCTATTGCAAGTCAGAAGATCAACTAGCAGATTTGATTACAAAGCCACTTCCTCTTAGCAAGTTTGAGTTTTTAAGGCAGAAGATTGGAGTTTTCAGATCCTAAAGCAAGGAGGAGTATTAATTATTTGCTTTTTAGACTGCAACATATTTTTTATTATGTTTATCTTTTAGTGTTTCAGTTATTGTTCTAGTCAATAAGTGGTTTCTATATTTTAGGATCAAGTTATGTTGTTATCCAATGTTGCTGAAATCTTGGTAAAAACAGTTCTTCTGTTTCATTTGAATATTATAAATGTAATTGTTGCTGATGAATAAAATATTCCCTTCTTCAATTAATTTTCAACATATCTACTCTTGCTCCTCTGTTTTTTTTAATTGTTTTGTTCTGCCATAAAACTAACAAAAAGAATAGACAAAGGTAGGCAAAATAAGAGTATGCAGAATAACTTATTCCTTGAAAAAAAAGGATAGGTTTTCTAGAATCCCATATTTGGTAGCATATTGTAAAAAAAAATTCCCAAGAAAGTTTTTTTCTCAAGATTCCGTTTTATGTGTATTTTCTAAACCAAAACATCACCAAAGAATACCATCTAGATGGTGGTATTTCAGGAATCCCAGACGATAGGAAAATATGGATTAATTTTTCAGACAAAAATTAACCTAACATTTCTGGGAATATTTTGACCCACCAAATAACTTTTTGGTAGCATTTTCGGATAATTTTTTTTTCCTCTACCAAACACCACCTAAGTTTTTCTTAAATTTGAATGATATCTAAGTGGGAAAACTTGTACCGATGTGATACATGAATCGAAAAGAAATGTATTATGACAAGAGAAAAAACATGAACAAATTGTTTGGAACACTCATTTTTAACATAAATTTAATTACAACTAATACAAAATTGTATTTAATAAAAAAATAAGATTTATTATTTCTCATATTATAGGAAATAAATTTATCTTTTATATACAAATAAAAGTGTGTGAACCTATGTTTTTTCTTTTTTTCTATTCTCCTTACACGAGTTCACACAAGCCCTACACATTTTTATGTGTATATTGGAAATAAAATTTATCTTCTATAATATGAGAAACGTTAATCCCTAAAAAATATATGTTATAGAGAAGCAGAACCATAAAAAGGAGGAGGGTTAATTATATGCTTTTTGGACTGCAACATATTTTTTATTATGTTTATCTTTTAGTGTTTCAGTTATTGTTCTAGTCAATAAGTGGTTCCTACATTTTAGGATCAAGTTATGTTGTTGTCCAATGTTGCTGAAATCTTGGTAACAAACAATTTGTCTGTTTTATTTGAATATTATAAATGTAATTGTTGCTGATGAATAAAATATTCCCTTCTTCAATTAATTTTTAACATATCTACTCTTGCTCCTCTGTTTTTTTATTGTTTTGTTCTGCCATAAAACTAACAAAAGGAATAGGCAGAGGTAGGCAAAATAAGAGTATGCAGAATAATTTATTCCCTGAAAAATAAGGATAGGTTTTCTAGAATCCCATATTTGGTAGCAAATTGAAAAAAAAATCCCAAGAAAGTTTTTTTTCTCAAGATTCTGTTTTATGTGTATTTTCTAAACCAAAACATCACCAAAAAGTACCATCTAGATGGTGGTATTTTAGGAATCCCAGACGATAGGAAAATTTTCAGACAAAAATTAACCCAACATTTATGGGAATATTTTGACCCAACAAATAACTCTTTGGTAGCATTTTCGGATAAAATAAAATCTCCTCTACCAAACACCACCTAAGTTTTTCTTAAATTTGAATGATATCTAAGTGGGGAAACTTGTACCGGTGTGATACATGAATCAAAAATAAATGTATTATGACAAGAGAAAAATCATGAACAAATTGTTTGGAACACTCATTTTTAACATAAATTTAATTACAACTAATACAAAATTTTATTTAATAAAAAAATAAGATTTATTGTTTCTCGTATTATAGGAAATAAATTTATCTTTTATATACAAATAAAAGTGTGTGAACCTATATTTTTTCTTTTTTTTCTATTCTCCTTACACGAGTTCACACAAGCCCCACACACTTTTAAGTGTATATAGAAAATAAAATTTATCGTCTATAATATGAGAAACATTAATCTCTAAAAAATATATTAGTTATAGAGAAGCAGAACCATAAAAAGGAAACTGTATTCATATTTTTTTTGATTGTGAAGAAGGTACAAAGAGACCCAATATATCAGCAAAGGAGGCTAACAGAAAATACCAAAAATGGCACCACTAATAAAATCCATGCATGTGCTAATAGAATGCACACCATCACATGATGCAGTGAGGGAAGGGAAGATAATCTTTCAACTCGTCCCAGAGAGACTTGAGCTTGGCATAATAGTTATTAATATCAAGGGAACCTTGACACAGAGAGGAGATTTGTTGTTTCAATTAAAAATATATCCAGGTAAACCTAGATAAATCATTAACTATGGTTAAAAAATACCTATAACCTTCAACAGAAGGGGTGTTGAAGGGACCTCAAATATCAAGTGCAAAAGGTCAAAATGTGAAGTAGAAGAGTCTGGGATTCAAAATAAAAGGGAGCCTTTTTGTTTGGCAAGAGGACATATTGAACAGTGATGGAGGGGAAGAGTAATCTTGTGAATTCATCTCGCGAAGAGTACCACAAGTGCATTGAGGGAAGGAAGGTAATCTTGCAACTCATCCCACAAAAACTTTAGCTTGGCATAATACTTATTCTTGAAGAATCATAGAGAACACTTTTGCAAGAGAAGGCAACAGAACAATCAACAAGATCTGAGCATGGGCAGCGGAGAAGGAATCATTATATCCAATTAAAATCTAAAAAATATGGTCCTGCTCCCTTCGAGAATTCATCTTGCGAAGAGTACCACAAGTGCAGTGAGGGATGTGAAGGTAATTTTGCAACTCGTCCCACAAAGACTTGAGCTTGGCATAATAACTATTGATATCAAGGGAACCCTGACAGAAAAAGGAGATTTGTTGTTTCAATTGAAAAATTCAGGGACCATTCACCTGAGAATATCTGGTTTTCAAATCGGACCAGACCTCATAAGCATTTGAAAAATACAAGAGGCTGTCAGCGATGTCTTTTGAAACAGAGTTCAACAGCCATGAAATTACCATGGAGTTATAGCAATTCCAAGAGGAACATAAGAGATAAGAAGCGGGAGGGTGATGTAAAGAGCCATCCACAAAAGCTAATTTGTTCATGACTGTCAGGATAAGGAGCATGGCACAATGCCATGAGTTGAAGTTAGAACCGAAAAGAGACTGGGCAACCAAAATCAAACCTAGGTGATTGCCAGTATGCAAAAAATAAGGATTAGAAAAATCAACAATGGAAGCAGAAGACCTATATAAAGAATTAGTCTGGGATGGACGATTAGCATTGTTGTCACGAGCCATGGAAAAGGCAAGGGCTAAAGAATAATACTGATACCATATTAGTTATAGAGAAGCATAACTATAAAAAGGAAACTGAATATTCATATTTTCATTTATTATGAAGAAGGTACAAAGAGACCCATTATATCAAGAAAGGAGACTAATAGAAAATATCAAAAGTGACACCCCTGACAAAATCCACACGTGCTAATAGAATGCATACCATCACACTTGTGCTAAGAGAATAACGTACTATAACATAGAAATATAAAATGAAAAATATTTATATACTAGTAAAATGGTTCGTTTTTTCTGCAGTTACTGGAGATAAGTTATCTGCAGTAAGTCCAATACGACGTCGTTTTGGGGCGGAAATTAGGGTGTTTTTGTAATTTTAATTTCTTTCAAGGTTATTATAGTCTTTGTAATTATAATTTTTTAATCTTTCAATTCAAAAACGACGTCGTTTTGAAAATAAATGCAGATAACTTATTTACATGAACGGCAAAAATATTTTTCTACTAATAAAATATATTTATAAACTCTTATAACTATATTATATACTATAGGTAATATATACCATTTGAACATATATTATCTGTAATACATCTTATACTTTGCAAGAATTTATAAATAATTTTTTTTGTAAATATAACCTATTTATTATAAATAAAAAAGAAAAGAAAAAAAGTGTTAGGTTTAGATTTCAGAAGAACAAAATCACTCCAGGACAATGTACTGCCGGCATGGAACGACCCTTGTCCTCTTGTTTTTTTGCAATCAATGTAACCGACCCTGGCCCACACCACACGTTACCCCTAAGCTATTCAAACTTTTTTCTTTTATCTTTCAGGATAAAAGCTATTTAAACTTTGAAAGAGGCAAAAGAAAAATATTTAAAAAAGTAATTAAGAGGCGCGTCCCGTTGACGCTTCAATTATATAACTTGGCAATTTGCAAAAACAGGCGCTCTTCATGCCACTCTCATGTCATATCATATCATTTATCTGAAGCGCCAAGACGCAAACAACCCTTGGCTGTTAGTTACAGGGTCTCTTTCAAATAAATATCAATGTCAATCAAACTTTTTTTAATTTTTTTTTTCTAATTTTCTGTTTAAAATATTACAAGTCCAAGGGAAATAAATCCAATGCTGCACTCCATCGAGAGTCTCCCTTTGCTCTCCCTCGCCGTTGATGGTGGTTGTTGCCGGAACGCTCGCCGTGTATGGACGGCGGCGATCCTGCCATGTCCGATAAGGAGGATGAGGAGGACGCCGCGGCGGACATTCTGTCGCGAGTTCGACTCGTCGATGCTCCCGTACTCTTGTTCGTTTGCTTCCACAAGGCTCTGCGCTCCGAACTTGACCAGCTTCGTGACCTGGCGGAAACGGCGTCGTTGGAGGATGAGACACGCCGTTGCCGAGAATTAATCCTTAAGCTTCGACGAAGATTCGAGTTTCTGAAACTAGCTCTCAAGTATCATTGCGCTGCGGAAGACGAGGTCAGTTCCATTCTTTTATCTAGAGGTTGTTTAGTTACCTAAGAAAATCGGACGAAAAAGTAGAAGAAAGAAATGTTACTTATGAAAGTTACCAAACAAAGGATCAAGAATTTGGTTCGAATCATGCTAAATGCTATTGTTTGAGCAATTTTTTTTTTTCAGTGTTGCGAAGACGCAGACTATAGATAGCTATAACTTGAAATTTTTTTTGCCAGGTTATCTTTCTTGCACTAGATATACATGTGAAAAATGTGGTAGGTACATTTTCCCTAGAACATAACAGCACCAATGACCTCTTCGATTCTATCTTTAACGTCTTGGATAAGTTGATGGATCCTGGTGAGAATATTTCCAAGCTGTTCCAAGAACTTGTGTTCTGCATTGGCATCTTGCAAACCTCCATTTACCAACATATGCTGAAAGAAGAAGAGCAGGTAGAATATCGCTATTATTTTCATTCATCAAAACTTACTCTGTTTACATTTTATGTTCTTTCCTCATTTCATTTTACGGACATAATCCATTCGTGTGGTTGCTTTGTCTTCCTGACTTTTGAACTTATTTTAACCTATTGTGAAATATACATGCTTCATTAAATGCAGTTTAAACACATTTCATTTATTTGTTGACATGAACATTGAACATTGTATTTAAGAATTTTATATTTTGTTTTGTATAAGATATTTTTATTCAATTACTCCGTTTTTCTTATGGGATATGGATCATGATGCTGAATGCGGCTGTTGTAATAGGATCTTACGCAATGACTATCTTGTAAGGAATGTGAGTGTCAAGTTTTGTTTGCTTGTTCAAAAAAATTAAAATTAAAATCCACTGTCGTCAAGCCCTTTGCTGCATTCGTGCAAAGGCTTCGAATTTAATAAAGTTGATCACTTATATTAGTTTAGCATGAATACTCTTTGAAGTTGGTCTGGGAGGGTTCTAGAGTTATATAGTGTATTTTATTGGATGATCAAATAGAGAGTATTTGGGAGAAATTGCATGTATTGAGTGTTGTACACAATCTATTTATATTACGAATGTGTTAAGTACAGAAGCGAAATCAGGGCTAACTACAGAGCTAATTAACATCTATTAATTACTATCATAACTATAATTGACTAATATTATAGTATGTCCTAAATAGGATAATAAGTATAGATTAGTATGCGAATGAATCTTGACCAGTATTCTGACAAACTCTCTCAACTTGGAGCTTACTAAGCTCTCTACTTGTTACAAATACACAAACTTAAAACCCCCCCTAAAAATATAGGGTACAATGAAAAAAAAAAAAAACCCTTCAATTTTGGGTCATCTGCAATTTACGCCCTCAGTTTTAAAAATGGGTTGAACCCTTCAATCTTTACCAAGTATGCAAAAAAAATCTCTCCATCCAATGAACATTCACGTGACTAATGGATAAAAAACCCTCTTAAACTTTAAATGATTTGCCCCGACTTTTATGAACAGATAAGAAAATGTAGAGGTGGTGATTCGTGTTAGTGAGTCGTGTTTGTGTCAGATTGAGGATTCATGTCAAAACTTTCGACGTGAACACGACTTGCTTATTATATGGGTTGACACAATATGAATAACCTGAGTCCCGTGTGTTCTTGACACTAACATATGCGGTTAACACGATACAACATAAATAATCAGCGTACTGTATGAAAATTACTTGAATAAATTTAAAGTAATAAATACAAATGAGCTAAATATATAACTATGTAATTGAAAATCAGTTTTGAGTTTACGGGTTGACACGACATAATATGATTTTTTTTCATGTCATTTTAACACAACACAAAAATGAATATAGGTTAACCCAAACACAAAAATTTCTTGTCGTGCCAATAGTTCGATTACAAATTGGTACCCTTTAATCCATTCTTTCTTTATTGAATGTGCAAGAAATAACCTATGTCCAACTGACATTAATCGTGCTAACAAAAATGGCCATGTGGGTGTCAATTAGGACTTATTATTTGCCTTGGTTTACCTTTCTCTTATATGCCTGGTTAAAATTCAATTTTCCAGCAAGTAATTGCTTGGACATCTACACCTGGAAATGTATGATGGGGTAAAACAAGAAAACAAGCAATGCTTAGAAATGGCATTTTTCCACCTACATCTTTAATTTTGATACCATATTCTCTAATGTATATATCTTTTCATGAGCATGGATTTCTATATTCATGAATCCTAATAGTCGCACGCTCATAATCAAATTTGTTCACTCCTGCAGGTTTTTCCTCTGTTGATGCAGAAATTATCTACTAAAGAGCAGGCCTCACTTGTGTGGCAATTCATGTGTAGTGTTCCTATAATGTTGCTGGAGGAAGTTTTGCCATGGATGGCATCCTTCCTTTCTGCAGACAAACAAGTGGAATTTACTCAGTGTTTAAATGAAATCGCGCCAATGGAAAAAGCACTGCAAGAGGTAGGCCATAGTTCAGTATTTTATCTATTTTTATAAACTTCCTGCCTTTGTACTAATCCAGATATCATTGTGAAGGTTTTGGTTTCTTGGCTTGGAAGCAACAAGCAAACCTTCACTGAGACCTATTTTCAGAGTGAAGAAGTTCAAGGTGCTGATGAATTCCTACATATAGAAAGTACACTTGGATTGAGTTCTTGTAATAGGAACTCCGAAGATATTTCAAGTTGGATGAAAGTGAATGGCCAAGAAATAGAAGATGAGGTCAATCAGGTTAATGTTCTTCATCTTTGGCATGATGCTATCAAGAAAGATTTGAAAGAAATTCTGAAAGAACTTTATCTATTAAGAAAATCCAGCTGTTTCCAGAATTTAGACTCAATACTTATCCAACTAAAATTCTTTGCTGATGTCCTCATCTTCTACAGGTAATACTTCTGACATTTCTACATATATGTATATTGGTGTGTGGAATCTGACTTTGTTTTAAATATGTTCTTTTGTTGCTTAAATTTATTAGGGATATGTTCGTGTGTAGTTTAAGAGATAAGCATTACAATAGTTGGTTGTTTTATTTTATTTTATTTTATTTAGTAGATAACAACTGGTCTCCGAAACCCTAATTGGCCCTACTAATCAGGTTTCAGGTATAAGCCTTTTGTTTAATTATTTTTGTAGTGGGTGATTACTATTTTAAATTTGTATTTGTCTATTTAAACCTTCATTATGTCGAATACAAAATCATCATACAAGAAATAGTTTTTGCATTTGTGTGCTTGAGAGTTGAGGCAGAGTTTCCTCAATATAGCTTAACTTCTTTTTTTTAATCAAAGTAGGCCATGTATGTACCAAAGTTCCTGAAGGTCAATCCTTCACTTCTATCTAACATACTTATTATTGTTCTTCTCAACTGTCTGATTTCTGAATATAACTTTCTGATTACAGCAATGCTCAGAAGAAATTCTTTCATCCTGTACTGAATAAAATATCTAATGGCTGGTTGTCCAAGTCTGTCGAACAATTTCTTGGTGGAAGTCACATTGAAGATATACAGCAGTTGCTATTTTATAACTCAGAAAGTGGAATGCCTTTGAGTAAATTCGTAGAGAAGCTTTGCAGAAAACTTGAATCATTTGTATCAGGAGTCAACAAACAATTTGCTTTTCAAGAAATTGAGGTACACTGTTTAAATCACTATTTGTTTCTTTTACAAAGCAAGGCGGGGAACAGGAGAACACCATATTAGTAATATATGATGGTGGTCCTTAACCTTTCAGTTTATCCTCAAATACAACAGTTTAATGAAATATCTGCATCTTGTGGCTTTGAAACTATCATTGTAAAAATATTATCATGATAAAAATGCAGCAATTAGATGCACTATCCACTTATGCAGACACATCTACTAATGATGTTCTCCATAGAATGAAATGTTTCTTACTCTTCATCAACCCTGCGAGGGTAATTATTTCGCTTCTGGAGCACTCAGCCCAATGTCAGAAGAGATTAAGGGCACATTCTGGCTAAGAAAATGAGTAAAATCTGTTTTTGCATAGCTTTTATTCTCCAATGAACATCTACTTTTCATCTGTGAGTGAGGAGAAGATCAGGTGAGAGAAAGAACAAATCTCCATTTTTCTGAGAAAAGTTCATTTCATGGGCTATATGTTAATTCCATACTTGTCAACAAATTATACTTCCTCTATATAAGGCTGGTACATAACATTTGAAATGTTTGTAATTGTGACACCCTTACTTCTTATCAGGTATTTCCTGTCATTGGAAAGAACTGCAGAAATGGAATGCAAGAGAGACTTTTAAACTTGAGCCTGCATATGATGCCACTTGGGTTACTAAAATGTGTTATAACTTGGTTTTCAGTTCACTTGTCTGAAAAGGAATCCATGTCCATTCTCTATTGCATAAAGAAAGGAAATAATTTTGCCTGTAAAGCTTTTGCATCACTGTTACACGAGTGGTTCCGCATTGGTTATTCAGGTAAAACCTCCATTGAAAAATTCCGACAGGACTTGCAGCATATGTTCAAAAGCCGATGCTCTATTATACCCGAGCAAATGAAGGAAGCTCCAGGATTTTCTTTCTTAAATTCTGACAAGCAGCCTCATAAAATCTCTGGCAAGAGTTGTTTGTCTTATTCATCATCTTCTGCATCCAACAATGTGAACAAATACGAGACACCATACTCCACAGGGATAAATCTGCATATATTTTTCCCTGCCACAGTTGTGAAGTTGCATCAGCATCCTAGATTTCATGCAGCAAATAGTTGTTCTAATTCCTTTCTTGACGATCCAAAACCAATTGACCTAATATTTTTCTTTCACAAGGCTATCAAGAAAGATTTGGATTACCTAGTTCTTGGCTCAGCTCAGTTAGAAGAAAATGATAAGTTGCTTGTGGACTTCCACAAACGATTCCGTCTTGTATGTTTTCTTCATCAAATACATAGTGATGCAGAGGATGAGATAGCTTTTCCTGCCTTGGAGGCAAGGGGTAAACTTAAAAACATTAGCCTTTCCTACACCTTTGATCACAAGCATGAAGTTGAGCACTTCAGTAAAATATCTCGCATCCTTGATGAGATGTCTGAATTACATCTTTCAGTTTCTACTATTGATTCAGAGATAAGGGAGAAGAGAATGCTAAGGCATCATCGTTTATGCAGGAATCTGCAAGAAATGTGCAAATCAATGCATAATTTTCTTTTTGATCACATAAACCGTGAAGAAATAGAAATTTGGCCAACAATTAGAGAATTCTTCTCAAGTCAGGAGCAGGGGAAGATCATAGGATGCATGCTTGGAAGAATAAGAGCAGAGATATTACAAGATATGATACCTTGGCTAATGGCATCTTTAACACTGGAAGAACAGCAGGTTTTAATGTTCTTATGGTCCATGGCTACTAAACATACAATGTTTGATGAATGGTTAGGTGAATGGTGGGATGGGTATAGTATAGCTAAGGCAACAGAGGGATCAAATGATGCCCCTCCACAAACTATTGAACCACTGGAGATTATATCCAAATATTTATCTGAAGAAGTTCTTAATGAATTACAAGAAGAATCCTCTGCCAATAAAAGCATAAATTCTTTCCAGAAGGATCATATTGGTGGTGATGTTGTGTCATCTAACTCCAATTTTGATGAAAAAGTTAAGGTTCATAGTGCAGAAGAAAATAATAATCAATGTTCAAAAAGCACAAATCAATTTCATGATAATAGCAGACATGCTTGCAATGAAGTAACAGATGTCACAAATCCAATTAACAATGGTCAATCTTTTCAATTTTGTGATAAGTCTGGGCATTACGATCGACTTCTGAAATTGAGTCAAGATGATCTGGAGAGGGTAATAAGAAGGGTGTCCCGTGACTCTTGCTTGGATCCTCAAAAGAAGTCATACATAATACAGAACCTACTAATGAGGTTGGTCTTGCTTGTGGTTTTTTTAGTAGTTTTTGTTATAGATGTAGTATAAAAAAACCATTTATGTGTCTTCACCTAACAATTTAAGCTTGTAAGGAAGTTGGCTCATGATAGGATATCAAAGCTTTTATTATGACCAACCATTCATATGCTTTCACTTTACAACTTAAGCTTTTGGGGAAATTGATTCATTGCAATTTTGTTTTATCTCCCCAAAATTTAGAGTAACAACTTAAGAATATGTTAGAGAACTATAAAAACCATTAATATAGCCTCACCCAACAGCTTAAACTTTTGTGTTTAATTGGTTCTTTACATGGTATCAGAGCTTCGGTGTCACAGGTTCGATCCTCACCGCCTCTATTTGGTTGATAATTAATTAAGTCTTGTGGAGTTTTTGTGCATTGTCCACCCTTTAAGCTTAGTGGGCTCTCGTGTGAGGGGGCGTGTGTGTTAGCGAAGTATAAAAACCATTAATGTAGCCCTACTTTTTGGATTGAATTGGTTCTTTACAGAATATTGCCTAGTTGGTTTTACTAGTCAGTTTTAGTGTTCAATAAACAATACAGTTGCTATGATACTTGGACAGTTTTAGTGTTTGGATTAGCTTAATTTACTTCTTAAAAAAGCTTATAATCAAAATGCTGAGTTTTTGACTGAATTTTTTTAGTGTAAAATAAGTTAATTTCAACATACAATAATGGCAAGGTTATGGACTCATGCTTGATTTTCCATACCATTATTATTATTATTATTATTATTTTGAAGGCAGTAAACTATGCCACACCTTGAGAATCAAATGTATGAGTTAAATGTAAAAGAATACGTTGTGTATTGATCTGTGTCAGGGAGTTACAATATATAGAGATCCTAATGGGCTTAAGTGTAAGGCCCAAACCTAATCCAAACCTAATCCTAATACAGTCAGAATACAGTCAGACTATTTACGGATAAGACATAATCCAATCATATCTAATCAAATCTAATCATATCATATCTAATATTCTAACACTCCCCCTCAAGCTGGTGCGTATATATTATGAGCACCAAGCTTGTTACAAATGTATTCAACCCGAGGACCTCTAAGAGCTTTAGTGAAAACATCTGCTAGTTGATTAGATGAGTTGACAAAAGCTGTCTTGATTTCTCCTGACTGAATCTTTTCCCGAATGAAGTGACAATCAATCTCTATATGTTTGGTCCTCTCATGAAAAACAGGATTAGAGGATATATGTAGCGCAGCTTGATTATCACAGATGAGTGTCATGGGTTGTTTCTGTTCACAAAGATGAAGCTCCTGAATCAACTGCTTTAACCAGATCAACTCACAGGTAGTATTTGCCATTGCACGATACTCAGCTTCTGCACTAGATCGGGAAACAACAGGTTGTTTCTTGCTTTTCCATGAGATTAAGTTTCCTCCGAAGAAGACACAATAACCAGAAGTAGAGCGTCTGTCCGAGGGTGATCCTGCCCAATCGGCATCTGAGTAACCACAAATTTCTGTATTTCCCTGATCCGAATACAACAAACCTTTTCCTGGTGCTCCTTTGATGTATCGGAGGATCCTCACAGCAGCATCCCAATGTGAATCACAAGGGGAATCAAGGAACTGACTGGCCGTACTGACAGCGAAAGAAATATCTGGCCTAGTCACAGTAAGATAATTGAGCTTCCCAATCAGCCTTCGATAACGTCCAGGATCAGATAACGGCTCCCCCTGTCTGGGCAATAACTTAACATTAGGATCCATTGGTGTATCAACTGGCTTACACGCCAACATACCAGTCTCTTCTAGGATATCCAAGGCATACTTCCTTTGACAGATAGAAATGCCCTGTCTAGATTGTGCTACCTCAATTCCCAAGAAGTAACGCAGCTTCCCAAGGTCCTTTGTTTGAAATGCACTGAATAAATGTTGTTTTAACTGATGGATTCCGTCTTGATCACTCCCGGTGAGAATGATGTCATCAACATAGACTAACAAATAGATGCACTTATCAGGAGATGTGATCCTATAGAACACAGAGTGGTCAACTTTACTGCGAATTAGACCAAACTCCTGAACAGCAGAACTGAAGCGACTGAACCATGCTCGAGGAGACTGCTTGAGACCATATAAGGATTTTCGAAGACGACAAACCTTCCCAGGCTCCCCCTGAGCAACAAAACCAGGTGGTTGCTCCATGTAAACTTCTTCTTGTAAATCACCATGAAGAAAGGCATTTTTGATGTCAAGTTGAAGGAGTGGCCAGTGACGAACAGCAGCAAGGGCAAGAAATAGGCGGACGGACGCCATCTTAGCGACCGGAGAGAATGTATCGCTATAATCAAGGCCGAATATTTGAGTAAAACCCTTTGCAACTAGGCGGGCCTTGAGTCGATCAACATGGCCATCAGGTCCAACTTTCACAGTAAACACCCAGCGACAACCAACTGTAGACTTCTGTGGAGGAGCAGAAACAAGGTCCCAAGTGCCATTGGAATGAAGTGCAGTCATCTCATCAAGCATCGCTTGGCGCCACCCTGGATGGGAAAGTGCTTCACCTGTGGTCTTAGGAATAGAAATAGAAGAAAGACTAGAAACAAAGGTGAAATGAGGTGAAGAAAGACGGTCATAGCTCAAAAAAGTATAAAGAGGATAAGGGTTACGAGTAGTACGAGTACCTTTTCTTTGAGCAATGGGAAGAGCCTCTGGTGAAGGATCCGGAGAGGAAGAAGCAACAGCAGTGGGTGATGAGTCAGCAAGAGTCGAGTCGACAGGAGGCATAGTTTTGCGACGCTGATAGGTGAGAAGTGGACGGTCCTCAGGTATAGAAGCAATAGGTTGCTCATTTGGAATAGAAGCACCTGCAGCTGGCAAAGGCAAGTTAAGAAAAGGGACAGGAAGAACATGATCAACCTGTGACAACTGAGATGGAATAGAATTAAAGGGTTGTTGATCAAGAAAAGTGACATCAGCGGAAACTAAGTAACGCTTAAGATCGGGAGAATAACAACGATAACCCTTTTGAAGACGAGAATAACCAAGAAAGATACACTGAAAGGCTTTGGATGTTAACTTATCCTTACCAGGAGTGAGATCATGAACAAAACAAGTACAACCAAAGACATGTGGAGTTAGAGGATAAAGAGGAACATCTGGAAGCAATAGGTTATGAGGAATGTCATTGTTGAGCACAGATGAGGGCATGCGATTGATGAGAAAACAAGAGATGAGTACAGCATCTGCCCAGAAGTGAAGGGGAACCTGCATATGAAGAAGAAGGGTACGTGCAGTTTCAATGAGATGTCTGTTTTTACGTTCAGCCACCCCATTTTGTTGTGGAGTGTGAGGACAAGTAGTTTGATGTAAAGTACCTTGTGTGGCCAAGAAATTAGAAAAATCAATAGAAACATATTCCTTAGCATTATCACTACGTAGAATATGAATAGAAACACCAAATTGAGTATGAATCTCAGTATAAAACTTTTTATAAATGGAAAATAACTCAGAACGATTTTTCATTAAATAGACCCAAGTGCAACGGGAAAAATCATCAATAAAGGTAACGAAATACCGAAAACCTAAAACAGACAAGGTACGACTTGGACCCCAGATATCTGAATGAACAAGAGAAAAAGGGGCATCAGCTCGTTTATTGACTCGATTGGCAAAAGAGGAACGTGTATGCTTCCCTTGTTGACATGACACACAATCTAAAGACTGAAGACCGGATAAAAGAGGAACCATTTTCTGCAACTTCGAAAGACTTGGATGACCGAGGCGACTGTGGATAAGTTGTGGAGATTCTGTGAGAGAGAGTGCCACTGAAGGACGAGGCACATCCAGATAGTAAAGCCCCCGTGACTCACGACCCACTCCAATCATTTCCCCCGTACCCGGATCCTGCACAGAAACAGAATGGTTAGAGAAAGTAATGGTGCAAGTGAGGGAATGGATCAACTTACTAATAGAAATTAAGTTATAAGGGATGCCAGGAATGTAATAAACAGATGTCAAGGCCAAGGTAGAGGTCGGACGAGCTTGTCCAATCCCACGAACTGGGGCTTTGGTTCCATCCGCAAGGGTAAAAGAAGGTAAATGATCAGAATAAGTAAGAGATGTAAAAAGTTCCTTATTACCACAGAGATGATCGGTAGCACCTGAGTCAAATATCCAAGTGCTAAGTGATGTAGAATGAGAAACACAAGCAACGGGATTACCAGTATATGGTTGAGACTGAGGAGAAGCTTTCTTGAGAAGAGTTTGGAGTGCAGCATAGTCCGCAAGTGAGAGAGAAACTGAACCAAATGATGCATTGTCTGACTGAGCTATATTCGCAGCAAGAGAGGTAGAATCCTCCGAGAGATCAGTGGACGCTGCTGCCATTTAAAAACAGAATATAAAAGCCGTAAACGAAGGCAAACGATATCCAATCAAGGAGAACCACGCGTCTAAAGTGAGACCCACAAAGAACCAAGCACAGATCCAGAAAGAGGAGAAGAAGGCGAGAAGTTCTGTCCAAGAACGGCCGGAAAAATCCACCGGAACAGTGCACACGCGCCGGTTGAAGGTGGCGCGTGAGCACCACGCGCAGAGGAGAAGAACGGCGCGTGGAGGCGCGTTGATGACGCGACGGTGGTCGGACCACCACAGAACTGGTCGCCGGGATGAGACGGTCCTGATCGCAGGTAGTCTGGGCTGAAAACTCGCCGGAACAGTGCTCTGGTGGCCGGAACAGTGACGAGCGGCGGTTGTTGGCGGCCGGAAGTGGTTCCGGTGGCCTGAACAGTGACGAGCGGCGGTTGTTGGCGGCGGGAAGTGGTTCTGACAGTTGAAGAAACAAGCCGGAGAGACACACGGCTTAGAGAGAAACTCGCCGGAAGAATGCACGGTAAAGTAGAAGAGAACACCTAAGCAGTGGGCTTAGGGTTTTAGCGGAAGCGGATCCCCAGAGCGAAAAAGCTCTGATACCAAGTTAAATGTAAAAGAATACGTTGTGTATTGATCTGTGTCAGGGAGTTACAATATATAGAGATCCTAATGGGCTTAAGTGTAAGGCCCAAACCTAATCCAAACCTAATCCTAATACAGTCAGAATACAGTCAGACTATTTACGGATAAGACAGAATCCAATCATATCTAATCAAATCTAATCATATCATATCTAATATTCTAACAGTATGCTTTGCTTAGCTTCATCTGAATGCCTATGAATTGTAAGTAAGATATTGCAGCATGCATTAGAGAATATTGATATTCATATTCAACAGAAGTTAGCATAAAATTTTTAAGCAGATGGTGTATCCCTGCGTAACTAGATATACTTTTAGTTCTAGAGCTAATTGAAATATGATGAGGAAGCTTAATTGCAACTTTTAGTAATGTATTCCAAGCCTATGATAGCCTCACACTTGTAGAGTTTAACATTACTTTCCACATAATTTCAGCCGTTGGATTATTAGACAGAAGATCTCTTCTACAGAAGTCTTTATCAAAAGCGATGGACAGGAATTTCCTGGGAAGCATCCATCTCACAGGGACCCTCACAATCTAATCCATGGTTGTAAACACTACAAGAGAAACTGTAAGCTTTTTGCTCCCTGTTGCAACCAACTTCATACTTGCGTACATTGCCATAATGAGGTATCAGATCATTCAATTGACAGGTAAGAATAGTTTATGTTCAGTTTATGTTTTATTTTTTGAATTGAGGAGTTCTATTTTTCCTAATTTTTCTTTGATCAATTTCCTAAATATATGTAGGAAATCTATTACAAAGATGATGTGCATGAAGTGCTTGATAATTCAACCAATCAGTGCCACATGCTCAACAGTTTCTTGCTGTAATTTATCCATGGCGAAATATTACTGCAGGATATGCAAATTATTTGATGATGAAAGGTAATGTTGCTTAATTGGTCTCTTTATATACTTTAACTCTATTTTAGAGAAGCATACATGTTTTATTTACTTGCAATCCCACAGTGGATTTTGAAAAATACACATCCGATAAAACATTTGTTGAAAGAGAGAAGTTTGGTGTCCAGGCTTGCACAGTTATCTCTTATTTATGGTATGAACACCATAAATTAAGTAGATAATTAGAGTCAATCAAGGAGCTAATATCTAGCTAATTGACAGCAATAAAATAAATGCAGTTGACAAAATACTAATATTCTAACAATGTTATTCATTGTTGTAACTAAAAGTGATTTGGATTTCCACTGGCGCCAACAGACTACCTATATATATTTATATAGACCCCTCCTAATTTTCTTAACTAATATTTAACTTAAGTTCCTCATTACTTTTGGAATACAATAACAAGATGTTGATCAATTACCTAAGCGTCATTAAATTATACGCAATCAGTCAGCATATATGTGTGTCTCTAACACAGAGAAGTTCATTGACTCAATTTACGTATGCAATAATGTTGTGTGTTGTTTAAGTCTTCCGAGTAAGTTGGCGTTTCAATTAAGATGGGGTTGAGAAGCACTGAGATGACTGCATCACCAAAACATTCTTGGGGAACGACATTTGATGTAGTTGTACAAATGTGGGACTGTTTGGTGAGTGGAAACTGATAAGTTGACACTTCTATATGTTATGGGTAAATTTGTTTGTGGGAGGCCCTTGGGCCAGTGGATAGTAGCTAGCTATGATACCCGGAAACACACATTTTTGAAAAAAATGCGTGTCGGACACCGACACGTTCTGACACGTTTCGACACGCGGTCAATATTTCGAGACACGCGGTTAACTCTCCGACACGTTTTTCTGACACGCAGTCAACTTTTTCTGACACGCGGTCAATGCTCCGACACGCATCCGATACGTTTTTTATTTAGTCTTAATTTTATTTTATTAACTAAACATAAAAAAAAAAAAATTATAAATCAATTTTTTTCTGTTATGAAATTTGACATAAAAAATTAACTAGGTACGGAAAATTATTTTTGTTTATATTTATGTTATGAAATTTGAATATTTGATTGGTTATATGACTTATTATGAACTGTTATATGTATTAAATATAAATTATATTATATATATTAAAAATATTATTTAATATCAAAACATGTCCCAACGTGTCGAAATATGTCATTTTTTAGAATTAACGTGTCGGCATGTCGTGTCTCGTGTCAGTGTCGGTGCAACATAGGTAGCTAGTCCCTAAAAGTGTGATGTAAATGGCATACTAACGTTCCCCATATCTATGGAAAGCAGGTTTTAGAAACTTATGGTAGGATGACCTTTTTACAAATATTTCATGAATATGATAATGATAGTATTAATGGAAATGAAAATGAAGTACAGGGAGGTCATGCTTAGCTATTGGATTATCTTTATGCTAAGCTTTCAAATTTTGTTACTGCAGTTCTTTGTTTATCATTTAAACAAAATCCTGAGTGCTAAACCTCTTACTTTTGAAATGTTCAACAGGGAAATTTACCACTGTCCCTTTTGTAACCTGTGCCGAGTTGGAAAGGGTTTGGGTGTGGACTACTTTCACTGTATGAGTTGCAATGCTTGTATGTCTCGTTCTCTTATGGTCCATACATGCAGGGAGAAATCTTTAGAGGATAACTGTCCAATTTGTCATGAATATATCTTCACATCCTGCTCTCCGGTAAAAGCCCTCCTGTGTGGTCATGTGATGCACTCAACATGTTTTCAGGTACTTCCTTGTGTCCCCCCCCCCCCAAAAAAAAACATGCATCAAATACAGAGACAATTTTATTAGCATTTGTGATGGTACTTTCAGGAATATACCTGCTTTAACTATACCTGCCCAATATGTAGCAAGTCACTTGGAGACATGCAGGTTAGTTATTATTTATATTATTAAATATCCTGTATTAGGATATTTTGTTCACATTGCTGCGAATGCATTTTACCACGGAATATCATAACACTTAGTTGCATGTGCTGAAGAGTTACTAGAAGCTTTTTTGTCCTCTGATGATCATAAGTATTTCTGATTTAAGGGAATATCGAGTTACATTATTGAAACGAAACCATGTCACTGACAGATTTACAAAAGCTGATGAGCTTGCTTTAGGTGTTGCTAGTTACTACTCATTAGTTGCATCATAGTTGTAACTTTGAGCTGGGAATATTAGAATCTGTGAAGGACTTTGAAAATACTGTCACAGGTATTTGTACAAAAAATACTTTTTTTTTTTTAGTACATAGGAGGGGCTAATAGCCCAAAAGGAAAAACTAACTACTAAAAGGCATATCAGAAGACAAGGTCTGCCTCAAACCATGAGGACAAGAAGCAAGAAACAAGAATTCTTCTTGAGCTAGAGCAGCAAACTTGGCGATCCAGCCTGCACATCTGTTGCCATCTCTTCGAACATGTTGGAAAGAAAGCTGCCAGTTCTTTTCACGCCACTGGAGGATGTTGTGCACAAAGGCATTAATATCGGAGCTCCTGGTGGCATTAGAAATGGCTTGGATAGCATTGAGAGAATCACTCTTAACAATAATGTTTTGGCCCTGCATGGTCCACGCTAATTGGAGGCACTTAATAATGGCCCAGTGCTCAGCCATTAAAGGAGAACAGATGCCTGTATTATATGTAAAACCAACAATCCAATTACCGCTATCATCCCTAATAAGCCCCCCACAAAAGGCAGCATTAGAATTCTTCTTAAAAGGAGCATCAACATTTACTTTCCAAACGCCATGCGGGGGAGCTAACCAATTCACACGGTGGGTATCACGCTGTCTGTTGAGGTGCCCAGACTGATTCAGTGAATGATATCACTAATATAGGAGGATAAGAAGATGATAGGATCATAGGGACGAGAGTAATTGGGGTCATGCACTTCATTGTTCCTCCAAACCCACAAAAACCAGATAGTAGTATAGAATATATCACGCCAGTTCAAGGTCTGTGCGTGATTCCATCCGTAATTAATGTTTTTCCTAAGCCACTCCTCCAAAGGCATGGAAAGGAAATCCCCTGGAAGGTTACCCGCGAACCACGCTTTCCAGACGGCCAAAGAAAATACTTAACCAACTGACGAGTATAATAGTTTGAAAATGGCTTCAAGACTTCTCTGGTCTGAATGTCTGTTTCTGGGGTCCCAAAAAATGCATTTCTACATGGACAATAATTCATTGAGGACTTAGATTTTGATAGAGTAGATGATCCTTTTATCTAGAGCTGTCAAAATGGGTCAGCTCGTCTCATTAGGTACTAGCCCGCATGGGTTGGGGCCAAAAAACCCGTAGGGCCAAATGGTTCACAATAATAAAGACCTGCATGGGCCAAAAGTCCTATGGGTTAGGGCTAACCCATTTGAATTAGCTGAACTGCTAAGTTGGATTTTCACTTTTATTATCATTACTCCATTTATCTTTTGAGGTATAATCATCTCTATAAAACCATCAAATGCTTTGCAGGTATATTTTAGTATGTTAGATACGTTATTGGCTGAAGAGAAAATTTCTGATGAGCTTTCAGGTCAAACTCAGGTTTGTGAGCTATTTTTCTTATTTTCAGTCTCATAAATTTTGTATAGTTTTCCAAAATGTATATCCTGATTGACCCTGCAAAAGTTGCAGGTCATATTATGTAATGACTGTGAAAAGAAAGGAACAGCCCCCTTCCACTGGCTTTACCGCAAATGCCCTTATTGTGGCTCATACAACACCCGAGTTCTATGATTCTTCCATCGTGAGGCATAAATAGTTGCTTCTCCTTTGTATTCAAACATTAGGTTGTATTTTATTATTTAATGCTTATCTATATGGCTTATGCGAAAATAATCATTCTAATGTAAAAATAGTTATCTTGTTGGCTTGTTGCCACATTTAATTAATTTGAATTCCTCTTTTGCTGTGCAAAATATTAAGAATCATAGTTGCGTCTTCAGTCTGAAAACCAAGAAATGCTGTTCATAGCAACTTTCTACTAGTAGATATTTGTCGTTTACTTTGTTTTAGCGCTCTGCTGACTCGTTAAATGCATGCAACAGATTGTGGATTAGGCCATAATTTTTCCTTCTACTCATCAGTGTTCTGAATACTTCTGCGAATTGATTTTGTTCTATCTTTTAATGATGCCAAGAAGGATGAAAAGTTATCAGATATACTGCAAAACTATATGAATATGGATGAGCTTAGAATTCATAAATTAATTAATCTTTGACATATCTGAATTGAGCAGAAGAGTTTGACCACAACCAAAGTGACTAAGAAAAGTATATCTTCGTGTGTGGTCTTAACTGAGAACTCCAGAGATTAATAGAAAAACAATATGTCCAATACAAAGTGACACTAGAGACTGGTAGAAAGAAAGTAATGCATTTTCAATATTTTTATTTTTTCAAAATGATCTAAATGACTTTTCTGAATACCTGGTTTTTGATTAAAAAAGATAAATCATTTTATGAAGGAAAAAATAGGAAAAGTTGTATGCTGATTATCTCTATTTTAAATAATGAATTTGATTAGAAATAGAGGTTGCATTGATGAAACAAACACTTCCAAAAAGGAAAGTAAACTTGGCAGTTTTTGGATACTTTTTTTGTTCTGTTATGGATATGAAAAACGGAAACTTAAAGTAGGGGGTGAGTTTTTAATTGGACATGAAAGTGACTGGTTAAGGCATGTGAACACAAACTTAGTTGAGCCAAGTTTGTGTCAGTATACATCATTCTTAGTTTATCAGTAATCAACAAATAATTCTTCCCTCGATTTACTTTTTGGAGGGTAGAGAAAGGGAAACAGGAACTTGTTACACAACTAAAACAAAATCTTAAGTATCTGGCATATTCTTGATTCTTCCCCCTGGGCCTGACCTAAGAAGAAAATTTGACGAGTAATAATGATCCTTATTTTGCTGTAAATGTATGCCAATTTCAATTATAAAAGTTTTGCTAAACTAATTCTAATGAGGTTCAGTGCACCAAAAGAAATAAAACTTCAGTGCAACCGATGCACTGAACTTCAGTGCATCGGTAGTTCATTTATCCTAGGATATGTAGGCGGATCCTGCGCAAATCACAGAATCCGCCTATATATCTTACGAAGATTTTTCCCACCAAAAGGGATGGTACGCTTTGCATATTTCAACAAGAAATCAAGATGTATAATCTCTTCGCTGGCATCAAAAGTAAACAATGGTAGCATTTTCCTAATATTAAAATTGAAGATTGTTCATTGTTCATCGGTGCGTAAAATCAATAAAACAGTTCTAAAAGCTGATAATACACTGGGATTGGCAACACTATGCTACTGAAAATCTGTTCTTGTGCTTCATACTCACTTGCTAGTAAAATATAACCAATGAAATTTGATCTTTAAATATAGAGTTAAAATATTGTACATTAAAATAGGCAGGCAATGAACCTCTAATTTTACAATTCATGGTGGGATAGCTTCAAGCACATTGAGGTTTCTTTAGAAGAGATCTTCAAGTTTTGCGTAATTTTGAATTATGGAAAGGTAAAATTATTGATGTAACTCGATTTTAATATCAACCAAGCTCCTCACCCCTACCCCTCCGGGGCTTGTGTTTCGGGATGCATATTTATTGTGTAATGGGTTCTTAATACTTTGACTTAAATAAACTTTCTGCACTTATGACAAAAAAAGAGTGGGGTTTCTGACTTTTGTTTGAATGTGAGTGACAGAAGGATGGTCAACTTATTCAAGTGTAAATCCTAAAACTCTTGCACTCTTTATTGCTAGTTGATTCTACTTGTATATGAGAAACATTAGCTGTGAGTAGAATCAATGGTGATTAAAGGGTGTAACACTTTTTAAATTTACATCAGTATCATTTTACACTGGTGTAAAAAAGTTACACTTTCATTCTTATTTGTTGATTCTATTTATATCTAACTATTCTAATTTATTAGTTATTTGAGTCGTTAGATACAAGCAAGTCAATAACCAAGATTTGATGTAAGACATTTTATTTTTACACCCGTGTTAACTTGCCCATATATATATAGGGAAAAATGTTTATCCTTTTAAATGACACAACTTATATCCTTTTACTCTCACAAAGAGGTGAGACTCACAACTTTATATTTTTTGTCCATTCTCTCTCTTCTTTTATCTATCTCTTTCTCTCACTTAAAATGACACAACTTTACATCCTTTAAAATGATACACACTTTTTCCATATATATATATATATATATATATATATCTTGTTATTGTTATCATTCTTTCTAAGAGTGGCTGCTTGCATCAGAAGGAAAGATGTAAAGTTGCTTCCAAATTTTTATGGAGTTATATTAGGCTGCTGTACAGTATAGAATGGGCTAGCAGCTAAGAACAGTCAAACATTTAGCATAGACTGATGCAAATATCCAGTCTTGATATTATTCTTTGCCTTCACATAACCAATGCAATTTGATAGATAATGGAAAGTATTTGCTTCTATTTAAAATTCTGACAAGTCAAGAATAGGAAACTCAATAATCAAAAGCTTACCAAGAATAAAAGAATACAAAAAGGAAAGGAAACAGGAATCCTAGTACATCTTTTTTTTTTGTTGAGGGAAAGGGGCATCTCACCGATCAGTTGACACTAGGCTGAAGCATGCAGCAGCACTCTTCAATTCATTCTCAGAAACATGCTCAGTGCACTTTGTCGTATCTTTCAGTGATTCTTCTGAACTGCAGGCAAATGTACAATATCAAATATGAGCATTTTCATTTTATTGAAGATTGATAATAATATGCAAACAATTCAATTGCCCACCATACATTCTGCTCTGGACCCTCTTATGTAATTTATGCACTAAGCTCTCAATCTTATTTGATAACAATTAAACCTATAGTTGTTTGTTTTACTGTCTCATTAATAGTTATGTCAAAAGTGATCAATCTACCTTGACTCATAAGCCTCCTTGGAATAAATGTAAGATTGCCTATCATCAATTGTATCAAAAAATGGATGCATCTCATCATAATCTTCAACAACTTCTTGTTGAATGGCTAGTGGCTGTGACTGTGAGGCAACCAACTGAGTTGGCATGCCTATGGAATTGCTATTGTTATTTGCATAAGGGTGCTGAAGCCACAAAGGGTTTGTGGCATTATCCTTGGAATCCATGTACAAGGGGTTATAATCAACACTGTTGCTGTTGGAGTAGGAATGTTGCTGAGATAGAGACAAAGCAGCAACTGTGTTGTTGTAAGTCTGTGGTTGTGGAGTATGATTAAAGAGTGGGAGGGCATTGGCATTGGCATTGGCATTGGCATTAGTCCTTGGTGCCATTCCCAATTCTAATTGTGAAGTGACATCATCAGGAATGGAAGTGACTTGATGGTGATGGTGTTGCCTGAACATTTCAAGCTGTTGATAAACAGCATGAAGCTCTTCTTCAACCAACCATATTTGGTATTGTAGCCTGCAGATTTCCTCCCAACAGCCATGAACAGGATACTTATCTCTATAATTAGCTTGAATAATGATAGAGTCCATAGCTATTTTCTTCTGAGTAGGCTCCAAGATCTTTAATAACTTTGTGATGTTGCTCACTCCAAATAGCTTGTGGACATTTTGAAAAATCTTGGGTTGGTCTGCAGGGAAGTATGGAGCAAGAAGGCATTCAGGAGTGCACTTTCTTCTCTGGTATTTGCATGCTGCACATGCCTGAGTTGTTCCACCCTTAAGGGTCATATTTCCACCACCTTATCAGATGCTGGAACCCTTTTGAGAAAGAGAAAAACTAAACTTTTTCTTCCACAATGATAAATAAACTTTTGGTAAAAGGAAGCAGTCAGAGGAGAGAGAGAGAGAGAGAAAGAGAGAGAGAGGGTAGAGAAGATTGTTATTTATTTGTTAGCACTGAAAAGGTTTGCATTTTGATCTATGCGGATCTTCTGGTGGGTATGGAAAGACTGAGTAAAACAAAGAGAGTTGCCAACTGTACGGAGCTTGTTCTTTCAAGAGTGATACCGTTAGGGACACGTGTGTTCAGAATGTCGGAAAATCCTGAGTTTTGGGGTTACCATATGGTGTTCATAGCTATTTTTATTATTATTATTATTATTTTTGTGAGATGTGGTTTTTCTTTCAGTAGTGCTCCTATTTCCATTTTGGGAAGGTGATTGTGTCGTACCTAGGATGAGTTCATGCCTTAGCTAAGTTACCATGATAATACTTTTTAGGGTTATATTTATCTTATTTTATATGAGAGAAACAATTTTTTTACACACACATAAGAGAAATAGATCTCACTTCTCTTTCTTCTCTCTCTTCTTATCTATGGGTGAGATAACCATTTTCCTACAACATAAAAAAATTATTTCCCTACTCTTTATACAATAATAACATAAAGGTAGAGGTAACAATTTGGGTTGAACCCGACGGATCAACCTGACAAAACGGGACGGGTTGGGTTATACTTTTCAACTCACCCCACTTAATTGTGGGTCAAAACGGGTTGGCTGTGGGTCGATGCGAGTTGGCCCGCAGGTCATTTTTTATTTACTAATAAGTAGTATTTTATTTGTCACTAAGCTTTTGTGATATGAAACTTTTTTTATCTTAGTACTCCCTTAGAAAAAATAAAGAAAAAAAACTTTACTTATTACAAAGGTTATCCATATATTGAGGCAAAAATAAGTTTCTAAAAAATATTTGAGTGAATATTAATATACAATATTAGTATACATTTAGGTTTGGGATTTGAAAAAAACTAAAGGGATTGTGAAATAAAAATAAGAAATATTATAAAATTAATAAAATATAATTTATTTTAAATTTTAAATTATTTTTTATTTTTTAAGCGGGTTGACCCGCCAACCCACCACAAAACGGGGTGGGTTGGGATTTTCAACCCATATTAAAATACAGGGCGGGGCAGGCCAACCCATTTTTGGCGAGTTGGCGGCAGAGCAGGGCGGGTCGAGACGGGCCGACCCGTTTTGCCACCTCTACATAAAGGGTACAAACTGGTAGAGTTGTCAAAATGGGTCAGCCCATCCCATTTGACCCTAGTCCGTGTGGGTTAGAGCCAAATAAACCTCAATAATCAAGGTTTGCACGGGCCAAAAGTCCTATTGGTTAGGGTCAACCCGCGGGCCATTCAAAATTATAATTTCATAATTTTTTTATCATATTCAATACATTAAAAAATATTTTAACAAATAAATTTTTAACACTCTCTTAACATATTTTATACAAATTATAATTTTTTATAATTTAATTTTTTTAATAAAATAATATTTGTACACAAATATATAAGTGAAAATGTAAACAAAATCTTAATATAAGTGAAAATTTAGTTACTACTTTTACTAAATTCATTATTAAATGATGTTATCAAATAAAAAATTTCTCACCGGGAGTTATAACAGAATACAACAATTATAGTGGAAAGCTAAAGTAAAGATAAAAAAATATATTTTAATACCAGTATTGAATAATATATTTGAAAGTAAAATCATTGATTTTCTTTAACTACTACCGTTACAAAAAAAAACTTTTTAGCTACTATTATCCACAAAATTACTAAAGTGCATTGTATACAATATGTTTCAATATAAATTTGGATGTATAACATGCTTATGTCAATAGAAAATTTTATTTTTTTGATGTGTAAATGAAAATCTCTATTAAAACATATAACTGCTGAAATTTTTTATTTTTGTTGTAAAATATTATGGATGAACTTTCACATGATTCATAACACGTGAATCTTTATTTTTCATGACCTTTGATGTATTCTATAATCATCTCACTAATGGTGTGTTTAATTGTAGAATACATTCAAATGGGTGTTGTAAAATATTATGGATGACATTTCACATGGATTATAGATGATATTTCACATGGATTATGGATGACATTTCACATAGTTTATGAATGACTTTTCACATAATTCATAACATGTGACTCTTTGTTTTTTCATGACTTCTATGTTTAAAAATGCATATAAGGTATGTCCTTATATAGGACTCTTTGCTCATACATATTCTTTCTTTTATTTTTTCTACACTTCATTTTTTCTTTTTTTCATATTTCACTTTCTCTTATATTCTTCATCAAATTCACAATAATTTTTACTTATATTTATAAATATTTAAATTTATATAATTTTTAGTTTTTTAAATAATGATAATTTTGATTAAAGAAAAAATTTGACCCGTAAGTCAACCCTAACCCAGTCCGCTAAATTATTGGGCTTTGAGGATTAGGGTTAAAAAAGGCCCTATCACAAAAAAAATCCTAATGAATTAGGGCAAAAAATAATATTTTATGGACTGACCTATAGACTTTAACCCATTTTGACACCTTTACAAATTACAGCATGTTTCACGTAATAACTGATACGACACCAATCAATTTGGTATTATATTTCAGGTTCATGATTTCACTCTCTATCAAAGTTTTAAGCTTTGAAAGTTGTATGGCAATAAAGATAACTCATCTTTGGTGTCATTAGATTTCGCCAAAATCTTAAAATTTTGTCCTACTCCTACCTATGTTACAGGATAGATATCTATCAAATTTTTGTTTTATTTTAATTTAAGATATCACACCACTTCTATTATTTGTTAGTCTATTTTTTTTCCTTTTTTTTTTGGGTAGATTAAGTTAATTAAAATGGTGATTTATTAAAATTCACTATTATGATTTTAATTTTATAGTTTTAATCTGAACCTACGTGGACAAAACGAATGGCTGTAGTAATCAACAGTGAAACTCGGATAAGGTTTGCAGATGAATATGAATTTCAATGGGGCAAACTTCTTCACAATAAAACAACTAAAATTAAATGACAATTTTTTAAAAGGAAATGCATTTGTCATGTTACATGGCAAATGAATAATTGTTATGTTAAGAAAAAATAAGTTACATAATATTAAAGAAAATGAGAGGACACATAACATTATTCAATGAATTAATTTTATCTTTTTTTTAACATGACAAATGTATTTTCCTTTTTAAAATTCTAAAAAATTTGGCCCCCTTAGTAATAACAGATTTCGTTCTGGTCAAAATGATATTAGCAAATTCGTAGTAATACTGATGATAATTTTTTTATCATTTAAAAAACTCCTTTAGTCTGTTTAGTGACAGTAAGAAATTTAATCATTAGCCAAAAAAATATTAATCAATGACCATTTTTGTAAGTTTGCGTAAACTTTAAATGCACATTTTTTTAGAAAATTTACTTTTGTGGATGGTTCATTAAAGGGAATTTAATCATTAACAATTTTATTTATATTAATTTGTCAATCCCTATACTATTTGGGGATCTTAAATTAGCGCCCTATATTTAAAAAAATTATAATTATATTTTCATAATTGAAAAAAAATAATTAAATTATTTCATTTAGCTTGCAATTTGAGTAGGGATTTAATTAAAAACTTTAAAATTACCTAAGCATCTAAGTACAAATTTATAACATATAAGAACGTAATTGAAAATCTCAAAATGTAATAGAGGCCTATAAATTAATATAACTTTATTTTTAATTTGATTTAAACAACATGATAACATTTGTCAATATAAATTGTAATATATACGATAAGATATTAATTAAAATTTGTTGTTTAATAATGTAATCTACTTTTCCTTTACAATATGGTTAAATTGAAAAGTTACAAGAATATGTATAAGTTTAAATAATTTTTATTTATTTGAACTTTGATCCCTATAACTTCGTTGTTATCAATCGGAATGTTTTCATTTATTTGAGTTCTGATCCAGATTAATTCTTCGTGAAAAATAGGAAACAATACCTCAATGAGAAAAACTAATAAAAACTAAAATTCAAATTAATGAATAATAATAAGGACCGATAACTTGATAGTAGGAACAAAACAAAAAAGTAAAAACATAAGAACTGATACCCAAAAAATAAAATATAGAAATCAAAGTTTAAAAGGGTAGAAACTGTAGGAACCAAAATCTTATTCAAAATATGTTATCAAAAATAAAAAAAAATCTTATTCAAAATATGTGATAAACTTCTAACTTTTAATGCATTTATATCTTCATCCACAAAATAGCATGCATATTTTTCAAATGTTACTGCAAATGATTTCTTAATAGAATGATGTACTTGGCATTAATTGATATATACATGTATTGCATTTCATAATCTCACTAGCTTATAAAATCAAAGGAGAAAGACATGAAACCAAAATTAATAAATTATACATAAACATTAATAAATCTTATTATAATTACTTATCTATCTTCACCTTTTTATAGTATAATCTTTTTCATATTAAGTATTATGAAAGGGTTTTCGTTTTATCCTTTAACATAACACAACAAACTTTCCTACACTCACAACATTTTGTGGGGCCCACACTTTTTAAAACAAAAAAATAAATAAAAAATCAAGGCACACAAAACGAATCTCTATAATATTACACAATCACTTTTCCTACAACATAACTCTTATAAAACCCATTATGAAATTATAATTAAGAATGACAATTTTTAACATAGCACGAGAAATTCATGTTTGCGTCGATCCATTTTTAAGTTTTTGATCGCAAAAACTAACACGAAAAATGATGTCATGTTACATATCAACTCGCAAACATAAAACTGACCCATATTAATTTTCTCATAAGTTATTCATGTTGAATCAACATGATATTAGTGAAAGCAACATTCCTTATACAGGTAATTTGTATCTTATCATGTTATGTCAATCAGCATAACAAGTGACACACTTTGATATTAACGGATTATTTGTATCGTGTCTTATTAACCCATAAAATAAATGAATCGTGTTCATACTGAGTATTTATATTCATATTAAATTCATGTCATATCATATCAACCCTTATTATCACCGCTAGTTATAATGTTTGATTTAATGATAAAGGATGGAAAGAAATTAAATATGATAAAGGATATGATTGTCGATATATTAAGGAAATGAGAGTAAAAAACAGAAATAAATTGCTCCATTTTCCTTCCTTTATGTATTAGGAGGAACAGAATGAAACTTGTGCAGAATGAAACTTATATTTTGTATGTATATACGACATTAAATTTTATGCTAAAAAAACTGGTAAATAATGTTCCTAAAATAAGGAAAATATGAAAAATAACATCCTACAATATTTGTCATTCCATTAATAAGAAATTCTTACATAAAAGTATTGCTTATCATAAGCACTTACATCAACAAATGACCCATACTAGTCAACACGTGACCTCTTCATAATAAAATGTCTGTACACATTTGGATAATTTAGATACGTTAATAATAAATTTGAATGTTTATGCAAATTGTACCTAAGAATTTCACCTCATTCACTTCCACTAAAACTTCCAAACAAGGATATAGAAATTTTCCTCCACTCCACTAATAAACATCCGAACAACAGAATAAGAACTCTCTTACCATTCCATTCTATATATTTCAAATAAAACATCCAGACATCAATAGTTCGATGAAATATTTAAAAACAGTATTAGTAATACTATCTTGATAGATGAAAGATAAAGAAAGCTCCCTCTTAAAAATAATATTATACAGCATAACAAAATTAAATGATCTTAATGAGCAATATAACGAACTGATTAAACTCCAAATAATTTGACTGGTAAAATAAAAATAGAAATTCTAAATGAAACCCAACCTACAACAAAGGCATGGCCTCCATGCAAAATATAAAAAGAACTATACCGAACAGAATGAAACGGAGAACATGAAAAGAGTAAAAATCTAGATACTGAATTGCGCAATATTTTGCAGTAATGTATATAGAATTATGAAGTATAATAATCCATCTCACTTGATGCTATTTCCAAAAAGTGTAGGACAAAATTGTGCCAAAACCTTTCAGCTTTTTCCTCGCTCAAAGCTACAGTTAATATCTGCAACTACAATTTGATTTAATTAGATAATTACCTTCACTTCTACTAAACTTAAGGAGATCCTAGCTCTCCCCCACCCCAGTAACGAAAAAAATGAAAGGAAATAGTGAGAAAGTACAGTGATGTGGATCCAAAGGATGGAAGCCCCTCATTTTACAGCTACACAAGCCTGGCATGCAGCATGCTCCACCACAGGTATCATGAAAGGGAGAAAACTTGTCCCGTAGATCAGTAAACGACACTCCTTTTTCAGCAGTAGAGGCAACAAGCTGACATTTTGACAAACCTAATCGCATGAAAGCTATACAGATCCTTTTTTTTGGTGTTTTTTTTTTTTCCTTGGGAAGGGGGAGGGAAAAATTTTCGGCAACTGAAGAACAAACCTCGTACACATGCTGTGTTCCCGACAATAATGGGCAGTTATTTCCATCATAAAACAGCCTAGAATCTTCTCACATTGCCGGCCAACCTCAACAAGTTGTGGTTGTTCTAGCAATACCAAAACCTGCTTATTAGATGGATACAAGAAATGAATCTGATACTCTCGAAACAAACCAATTGTGTTGAGCAATGCTAGGTACCAAACACCACTCTCCGGGCTCTTCTATGTCATCCAGTAACACTAAATGTATTCGTCATCATCCTCCCCGTAAGAACCTGTAGTTCTTATTAAAACCTTGAATTGTATCACAAATTTTAAAATGCTATTTTCCAAACTGAGGTATGTATACCAAAACTTGTTGACATCACTGGAATTTTTGCAACTTTATGAGCCTAAACCGATTGTGGGTTAAGCAGAAATGCAATGAGCATAAACAGGGCCATACTAGACACCAATTTCTGCCAAACTATGTCAAAGACAACATCCTTCAGTCCAGCAAATGATGTTATCAGTTCCACCAGAAATCTAATTTACAGCTTCAAAGAAAAGAACCTGAGGTTGTAGATGCCCTCTTTCACACATTGTGAGAACATCCGCCCATCCACCAATTATCTGACCATTTAAGAAAAAAATTGAACACAAAGAGTGACAGAAAATATATTCATCTGTTCAAAGACTCAAACTCACCTTGACAGTCTTGTCATCATACATAATCCATTGTTCATGGTCATGACTATAAGCAAAGCAATGATAATGCTGACCATAGTAGCAAACCTAAAATTTTAAATAACACACATTAGGAACATAAATAGTGCAGAGAAATTGGGATTGCACATCACCATTGAACCAGGTCTTCATTTAAAATGTTTACGTAGAACTAACACATTGGCATGAGATATGACTTCTTTTTTTCCATTCCAAGAGTAAAATGTTACTCAACCATTTAATAATGAAAATAAAAGAGAAGGGAGGGGGAATCTGAAGTTTTCACTCAGACTTTCAACTTCCTTTGTGGAAATTTTAGGTATATCAAGTTTCTTTTAAGTAGTAAATGAACTTTTTCACTGACCAGAGCAGTCCTTTCAGGATTTGAATATGATGTATACAAAAAATTATTAGAGTGGGGAGGGAGGATGAATAGAGAAACAAGCAGGAAAGAAATATGGAGTGGTTAAGGCTGCTTTCAGCTCTCCCCCACCCCCACCCAAAATAAAATCTTGCTACGAACGCCATATACTCAAATCTTCCATTTTAAAATGTGCCAAAAAAAGCAATATTCAACATGGAATTTTTTATTAGGAAATGTTTACATTGCATGTGTCCCTTCTCTAATAAAGCTAAATCCATTTCTTACAGCGGCAAAGAAAAAGTAATCAATATAAATATAGACATTCCTTAAACATTATCATTCAAATACATACCACCGAAACCAAGCTATGGGTGCTTTTAGGATCTAAACCCCGATACAGGACACTGATATCTATCTTGGTGCTCAGGGCGCCCAGAGTTGCTGTTATATCATCAGCACTCTCACATGTATTTTGCCAACCTAAAACTGTAAATACCAAACATGTAAAAGAAAGGCCAAAAAAAGCATACAAAAGAAAAGAAAAGTCAACATTCCTCAAGCAGCAACTGAGGTACCTGTCATAAAAACATGGGGTGGAGTTGAAAGAAAGTGATGTATGTGATTGAGCTTGCCACAGCCACCAACTTCTAGATCACAAGCCAACTGATGGTTCATCTCCACGAGATTCAAAAGCTTATCAAAGGAGCTTTGAGCAAACATAACCTGCAAAATGAAGAAGGGATCCAGCTAAGGTACATAACAAGCATAATGCTTTGCTCATATGCTTCCAGCAGCCGAAAATCAGATAAACTGTAAATTATTATCCTTCCTAAAAGGTACCTTCATTGTCCGGAGGGAATTGGCATTTATATTGTGAAAGAAGGAAGTATACTTCAAATGTCGGGACTCCCGACCACAGTGATAGCAGTTCATTTGTTCAAAAATGTCCATTCCAAAAAGTGAATGTGCTATACAACTACTGTTTGCACAATCCCAAGATCCCATGCAATTGCTTTCCACTGATTCTGAATCAGAAACACTTGAACCACGAGTAAATGATTGATGTAGGCAGTCAAATATTACTGCCAGTACCTCAGAAGCATCATTCATCTGAGCCTGTCAAATGTCAGTATATTAATCACATAGTCCACAAAAGAAGTTACAGCCTATCAAATGTCAGTCGCTACCGTACATCATTCCTTTTCTATGTCAGCGAAGTTACCTCCTGGAAGAAGTTACTATGAGGATATAGGTTGCTTAGAGCTATCCGCAGGGAAGTAGGTGCAACTGCTTCTCTTGTTGAATCCTTTGGTGCAAGGTCCAGCGCAGTGAAAATTTCATACAATGCACAGACAACACAAGGATTACCTACATGATCATGCTCTGATTTTGATCTGCCAAGAAATCCCACCCGAAAGCGTCGTAAATGCCACAATGACTGAGCTCGTGCACAGACAAGAAGTTCTTTCAGGCAACGGATATAATACATCAATGAAATAAAAGTGCACCAGCTGATCTCATAACAAATTGGAAAACTGGCTTTCAAAAGACCTACCTGTATAATAACATTGAGAAAACAATTATATTCACCCACTTCATTCTTCAGTCCAGTACCAAGTAAAGTAGCTCCATTGACATCCTCACTTGATTCTTCCACAGGTGGACAATCCAAACAATCTACTTGTGAAGAAGCTCTGTGAGACGCTCTTAAACCGGAAACCGAATGCAAATTCCCACGTGCTTGATATGTGTCTGATAAGAAGAATCTCTTATAAGGTTAGAATCATCAAAGTTCCATAATTCTTCAAGGTGAACCCAAAATTCCTTTTATAAGCAGGTGTAAGATTTATTATAGCTAATTTAGTGGAAACTGGAAATATTTGCGTGACTGTCAGAGATTTTACTGACAGTTTATGTCAAATTTTACTTGTGGCCCAAAAAGAAATTAAGGCATGTAGCCAACAATAATAAAATAAAATAAAAAGGAATTATGGCCACAACAATGTTTAGTAGCTGGAGAAATGGCAAAAAATAAAATATATTATACAATTCCATGCACTAGAAAGGAAAGGCAAGTGGTCACTAAGTACTCAGAAAGAAGGTAAAGCATTCAACATGTTAACATGGATAAGTGGCAAATGCAGCCTTGCAACATTTAGCTCATAAAACAAACAATGGGCCTCTGAAGGATCATTGATGAGAGCAAAATGTACTAATCCGTATCTTAAATGCAGCTTTATCAATTAGCAGATGATAAGAAAATATAATTATCAAACCATGGAGAAAGTTGGCAATGGGAATTGAAATGAAAAACAAAATAAGCCTATTCTCTGGTGTAGATATTGTCAAGAACCAACTATTCAAAAAGATTGAACTGTGAGGTGGAGGGTCAAGAATGGTTTTATATCTCTTGAGACACCCCCTCTCACAAGAACCATAGGACTTGAAGTATGGGCAATGTACACGTTCTTCAATTTAATTATGAAAAGTGAGGGTAGCAAGGATTGAACTCCTGAATGCTTGATCATAGATTAGGGCCTCCAATACCATATCAAGAACCTGAATGGCTATCCATCACGTAAATAAACAAAGCAGTCAATTAAGCTCATTCCCTATAAAATGCTGGCCATATCTTATTACATGAACCTAGTACATATTTATTAAGCCATGATATGGGTATTAATTTCAAAGCTTCAAATTTAGCAAAGAAAGCAACATGCCAAGGGATCAGAATGGGAGAAAGGAAACCTTTCAGATAAATCTGCATTCAAACAATTTAATTTCCATTCTTCAGTCATTTACAGCGAGGGGGATTTTGCAAGAAGGAAAAAATATATGTCAATAAGTTTAAGAAAACACATCATAGATGCCTAAGATAAACACCACCGGTCTAAATATGTATGTAGGGAGAGAAAAATATTATACCCAGGCTTTGGCGTACAGCCATTTTAAGATCAGCTTGGAATCTTTCCTCCTCCTCATCTTCCACTTGCAACTCTTTCATTACCTTTGATCCATTGTTCTCCCACACTGATGGTACATTCAAGCAACAGCAAATTAATTTTCATATTCGGGAAAACACCTTCACAAGATGCTTTTTACTATTATAAATGACTTCAAATAGGCTCACAAACTGAAATAAGATTTCTGCATCAGTAAACAAATTTCAATTTGACATAATTCTTGCACGAAAGAAGCACAAGTAATGCTTATGAGTTTTCAAACACTATAAAATCTGATTTTGTATCTAATTTAACAGTAGAGTTTATTTTGACCAAAAACTTCTTTGTTAAGAAACAAAGCCCACTGAAGAAAAACATTATTGAAATAAGCATTGTCAAAGAAAATATAACTGATATCATGATATCGTTCTATGCAAATCAAGTAATGCCATCACACCTCACTGAAAAAATAAATACAGCAATTATAGATCATAATTTGTAGCCAGATTTGGCAATTAATTTCCAATACACAATATCAGATAATTACACTATAAACCCAGGGATAAGAGATCCCAACAGAAGATAATTGGGCTACAAAATAGCCCGAGTGCCAAAGAATAAAAGAGTCGACATGGAAAGAAACTGTATCATATACAAGAACCTAATTCAACTTTATTATCAAAAAAGAAAAAGAAAAAGAAACTAATTCAAATAAGACACAGCAGTTAATTAACTTGGAACATTTTTTTAAAAAGAAAAATATATAACATTGAGAATGATAACATTATGGCCAATGAATAAACTAGGTAAAACAAAGATGACACAAGACAAGCAGCCTACATTTGACTTTACATGTTATACTTTCACAAAAAATGATTAGGATATTTTCTGTAGGTGGCAAAAGGCAAAACATGAGGTTCAAATCAAGATATTAAACCCACAGTTGTACCAGTGGTAAATGAATTATAATATGCAAAGTAAAGCTCAAATGGTAAAAAAAAATTGTTGTCATGGTCTTAACAATGGAAAGTCTTCCTAACCGTTTCTTAAAATTTTGTGCATCCCAGTAAACTTTTGTAAGCTAAACATATATAGTGCCATAGACTAGCAGCCCGAAGATAAAATTATGAGTCAAATATTATCATCATAAAGAATTATGAGTCAAATATTATCACTATAAATAATTGTGAGTCAAATACATCTGATAAAAAACCGTAATTAGATAAGAATTAATATGCACCAGCATTATATGGAAAGAGTCTTTGGACAATGTTAAAACTAACCATTGTTAGCATCTTGATTGTTATTGAATTTAGCCTGCTCTCTCACGTTACATTCAGTATGCATATCCTCAATATTCTCCTTTTCAAATGAGACAGATTCAAACTTTCCATCAACCATTTTGGAAGAATTCCTATGCCGTTTGTGCTTTTTTCCTGCACGCCGATCAGGCAAAGGAAGACCATTCTCCAGACCAACTCCATTAGGCAAATCTGTTGTCGAATAAAATAAAAATGTGGAGAACCTCTAGCAAAAAATAAATAAACATTGCATTTTGAGAGACCACCAACCTTGTTTAACTTTTGACTGATGCAAATAATTAATCTTTTGGGTAGCTGAATCAGCTAAAGATTTAGTTGGCACCATGGAACCATTCGCTGTGGTGACAAGCACACCATCCAGATTGCTTGGGCACCCATTCTCCTTTGCCAACTGCTCCTGAAAAAAGAACGAGTTCTAAGGTATATTTCCTGCAATACCTAATTTTTATCTATAAAGTATTTCCTTTAAGTTGTACATTTGCCTTACAGGTTCATTGACCAGGCAACAATAGCTTAAAGACTAGAAAACAGAAATTATGTCCCATTTCATTCAGTAGGAGAAACTCCAAAAAAGAGATTCATACTTGCATAGGTGGTCTTACATGTTTGTGCGCATCCAGACAATCAGCAATCGCCTTCAATTGATAATCATGAAGCTTGTCCGGCATTTCCTCTAAATATGTCCCAGATGATTTCTTTTGTTGCTCAGCAAGATGCTTCTGTTTTGCTTCATTTTCAATCCTTCGTTGAAATTCCAAAGTTTCTTCAAGCTTTTTTTCCTCCTCTTCTAGCTCAGTTTTGCGCCTAAATTCCTCTTCATGTTGTTCCAAGTCATCACCATTAACAGAAACAACCTCATGATCACTATCAGGTGCAACTAGACTGGAACTGCAGCAGAAGCACATCAAAAACATTTTTAGGAAACAGTTGATCTAGAAGATTATATAATAAAAAAATGAAAAATCCAGAAAAGAAAATAGATAAACATATACTGACTCAGGTGTTGTAGAACGAAGCAAGAGCTGCACATGACTGCTTGTGGCCTGCAAGACAGAAACTTTAATCAGTGGTCATGGACAACAGCTCAATATGAGTAAATTCAACATGTATGATGAATACCTTGGAATCTCTTGTTTTTCTATGATCTCTATTCTTCTTCTTATCTTTTGTCTTCTCCAGATGTCTCGTGTTCTCATTTCCCCCTTTAACAGCCTTTCTGGAATCAAGAGCAAGTTCAGCCAAAAATGCTTCGCTTGCAGCATCAGACTTCTCTCTTGCATCTTTCTCAGCCAAACCTTCCAAAAGTGCCTAAAAGATCAAAACAAAGGAACATATAATTAAGTAAAAGATGAAGCAACAGTACATGCTTCAGCAGTCTGAATACAAACCCTTAGGTACGACTTCACTAAAGGCACTAAAATTGCTCGATAATCATAAGCAGAAACAGGCCCAAGCTTGAGTTCCAATTGTTGCATCTCTGTAACATTTCTAATGATTCGTGCATCAATTTTGCTAAGCTGCACAGCAAAAGAACTAGGTTATAACATCAAGGTAAAAGATCATCCTTACAGTTATCTTAGTAGACATTTGACAATTATCAACAAACTGACCTCTATAGATAAGTGCTCTTTTAGTTTCTGAATAGCAATTTCTATACAACTATCCATTTGATGCAAGAAGTCCTTCATTCTCCATTCATCTTCCTCACCCGATTCCAAGTCACATAACTGAGAAGTCACACCAGCATAAGTTTCCTCATAGCCAAATTTATTAACATTCATTGCTTCTGCTTCTTGCAAAACATTTGATATAGCATCCAATTCAAACCTATTGCTGACATACATCACATCATTCTCACTCTCAACGAGCTCTTCTCTCCGCTTTTTTAAAACAGACTCATAGCTTTGCTGGACAAAGTCACCAACATTTTCCCTCTTCTTACCTTCTTCAAGGCAAAGATCCTCTACTGTCTGCAGTGCTTCCTCATAACTTATGCGATCACACTTCTTCTCACATAAGCTTTGTAGGTGATAAAACTCCTTCTCGAGCATCTGGACAATATCCATTCCTTGATGTTTTTTATCTTCTCTGGTCCTCATCCATGATGTCAATTGATCCCCAATAGGTGAACTTGAAAATATCCAGCATAGCAAAGCATCATTACACTGTGAAATTCCATCAGGAGAACTTGGGGTGGTCACATCATCCAAGATAGCCCCCTGAGCTTGTGTTGGCAGTAAACCCTCATCCAGAAGAATGCATGATGCATCTCCATCGAGAACAATCTTCTCTTTGATCTCAGGACCTTGACTGATATTGTGCAAATCATTCATGGGACTACTACTTTCATCAGCATACCTACCCAACCCACAAGCATGAGATATTTCCTGGAGAAATTGGAGAATTTTCTTAAGCTGTGAAGCTCCCAGAAAGCATATGCACATTGGTGTTTGGTCTACACCATGGTTTAGAAGTTGAGAACCAACAGCAAGACCTTGTATCTCTCCCATAGTAAATTGTATGACCTTGTTAAGATGACTCGCAGCAAGACATTTGTGTCTAATAAGCATCATGAATACTGCATGAATTTTCTCCAGAAGTTTTGCACGCTCAGAATCATCAGAAACAGGCCAACAATCAGCAGTAAGATTAGCCGTACACTGTCGGTCTTCAGCACCTTCTTTGATATCACTTTCTGATATTTTACGACAGTTACTACTTTCTGTTGTACAATTGCAATGATTGTACCCTACATTTTCCTTCTCATGGTAAGAGCCGCTTGCATCTTTAAAACAATCATTGTAGTCCTGAGTATGATGACCCAAGTACGAATCCTCAAGAAACGAAGAACCATTGAATTTCGCTTTATTATCAAGCATTTTAATCGCAGCTGAGACATCCACAGGCCTCCAAGAACAATTAAGAATCATCTCAATCCATTCATTGTCAACATTTTGGGGCAAAAGTCTCCGCAATTTTGGCACGAGATTCCCCATGTGTTCCTGCACAACATGCTGCCTGTGAGATTCTGAATTACAATATTTCTCATCACAATGGCAGCAAAGCCAGAACTTCCAAGTTTTATTGGGCCCAGCATATGACAAAGCTTCTGACAAAATATCTTTCGGCAAAGGATCCTTCGAAGACCCAAAGTGGGACTTGAGATCACAAATTTTAATCTTAAGCAAGTCCTTCTTCATATCCACACTCACTGAATTCCAATATGAGAGCACCCAGTTCTTCCTTTCATCTGTAGAACCATTCTTTCTCATATTTCCATGCTTTCGCCTATCACCCACCCTCTGACTAAATCCTGAAGATGAATCTGGTGCTCTATCATCCCTATCTCCTTCGTTCGGAGATTGGGGAGACTCTGGCTTTTGCTGCAACAGCCTTGCAGCAGCCACTCGAACTTCAATTTCTTTTCTTCTTTCCTCGGGTGTTTTGGTCACCTTCTTGATCTCATTAGGCCTTCTAGTTTGAACCAACCTCACCTCCATTGGGTCCTCCGCGGTCCTCCTTATCGGAATCAACCGAAATCTCTCCTCTCCATTACTCAGATTTTTCATCCAAGTGGACAATGAAGCTATGTTTGACTTCTGAATTAGCTGCCTCAATTCATTCTGTACATGTGCTATCCGGTCTTCCACAGTTGATATCTTCTGCTCGCTCTCATCCTGCAAGGTCTCCTTCGCAGGATCATTGGGGTTTTCAACCGCAAGCGCCCTCTCACACTCATGCACCACCTCCTCATATTCCTTGCCTTCAGTTGCTACCTCCAACATCAAATTGGCATAAAAATGCGCATACTCAACTGAATTGGGCGCCAGCTCAGCTGCTCTCCGCGCGGATTCAATGGCATTCTTCAAATGCCGTTGCTTCGCGCTCGGGTCATTGAGAATGGACGCCACTTTGATAAACACAAAGCCCTGAACTCGGTGAGCGAACGCCAAGTAAGCCGAGTCCTCGTCTTTCGAGCACAACTCCTTCATGAGCTTCAGTGCCCTGTTGTGGTTACCGCGCCGAAACGCAGTGAGGGCTCGCTCGCATTCGAGTTTGATTGTGGAGTAATCGTAATCGGAACCCTCAAATTGAGGAGCCAATTCGATCTTGCTAGGGTTATCAATATTATTTTCAGAAACGCTGCAGGAGTCATGGTCGGGTGAAATGGAACCATTGGCGGCTCCGCCGTTGGCCGATTGCGCCACCAGAGAAGCCGCCGGCGATTGTTTCGAGCGCGGAGCATGGTTTCGCTTTTTGTGTCCCATCAATTGAGCTCATACAAATCCGAATCACGTGCATAAATACGAACAAAAATCCTCGTGTGTGCCTATGTTTCGATAGAGAGAGAAACGATACGGAATATGAAGAAGAGAGAAAAAGACCTGACCTAGAGAAACAGTAAGAAGAATAAAGGAAGTGGTTGCCGGAGACGGTGACGGAGAACGATCAGCGGCGAAATCTAGAAGGTAGTGGGAACTTGGAAGGTTAGGCAAACGCTGTGAATGCAAAAAAACCACAGTGAAGAAGACACGCAGAGCACGAGGACCTACCTACGCAAGAAGGGTGAGGCTTCATGAAAATGAGAGCTAACACAACTGATAAATAATTTTTGAAATGAAATTGAGTGAAGGGATCAATGTAATATTTATAGCTAATAAGACACGTAATCAAATTAACCACAAACATTTAGCAACTTCTCTTTTTAATGTTTAATCTATTTATTTTATTATTCTCTGTTAATTGGATGAGTTTTGATTTTGTTTTAGGGAGTGTTTGGTACGCGGTATTTTTTCAGATTCTCGAGAAACTGAATTTTTTAAAATTTTTAATTTTTGATTATTATCATAAACTGAACGTAAAAATCATATTTTTAAAAATCGAAATTTCCAGACAAAAAAAAAAAATTCTCTCGTACCAAATGCCCCTTAATGACATTTTATAACGATTCAATCAATTACAATTTATAAATTTGATTATATGTTGGATTGGTTTATATTTTGTATTATAAAAAAAACATTATTTGCACTGAATACAAAAAAAAAAATGACGCGTGAAGCACTTCCATCGTAGTTATATTTATATTATTTAAATTCAATTTATTAAACATTATAAAATTCATATATTATCATCAACTTAAACATTAAGATAACATGTATCTACCAAAAACAATAAAATAGCGGTTTACAAGGTAGTTCGTAAGTCAAATGTTAGCGGGTTTTAATTGAAGGCTTGGAGTGGCGATTTCTTTGTTTACATTTGACGTGTAAAAATTTCGGTCATTATAAAATGCGACAGACAATCCAACTTTTAACGTTAATATCACATTTAAATAAAATAAAAAAAATTAAGTTGGTGTCAATTTACAAGGTTGTTGACATGATTCACTGTTAATTCACATAAAAATAAATTAAATCCACGAATAATAATGAATATAAATTCACATCATCCTTTTTCTATAATAAACATGATGAATCAATTATAGATAAATATATATATATATATAATAGTTTGAATAAAAATTTTATAATCCGATGTAGCGCTAATTGCTTTTAAATTTATAATTGCTACACATTTATATCAAAGCAAAATTTTAATAACAAATTTTTTTTATTTCATGATTTTAATTAGGGTAATACTTCTCTTATGTTGTATAAGAGAAGTATTATCTCATGCTCAAACAAAAGTTAAGAGAGAGAAAAAAGTTGGAAGTGAGAGAAAAAAATCTTATGAGACCCATTTAAAAAATATGAATGTAAGAGATAAAAAAAAATTATATAACATAAGAAAAGTAATTCCCTTTTAATTATCTCCTTGGATAAGTTAGGTCCCTCGTGTATCTATGGTCCTAAGCGGACTAATTCAAACATTACAGGACATTTATTCAGATTTGACGCAAAGGTCCTCGTCACGGTTGAATCTATGTTATTTTGACAGGTTTTAATTTCATTTGTAATACAAAAAGCTGGATTATATTGTAATTACCTTATTATTTATAATTAATCCCTCGCTTAGGTGGTAGAAGCGGTTGGTAAACATTTATCAAATATATTTAAGGGAAGGATATATTTAAGGTAAATTATTTTCGTACGTTAAATAAGATATTTTCTCTTAGAGATGTCAAAATGAGTTAAAGTCTGCGGGTCAGCTCACAAAGTATTGTATTTGGCCCTAACCCATTAGGAATTTTTTGTGGTAGGTTATTTTTTAGCCATAATCCTCAAAGCCTTATAATTTAGCGGGCTGGGTTAGGTTTGACTCGCGGGCCAAACTTTTTCTTTTATCAAAATTTTTCATTATTTAAAAAACTAAAAGTTATATAAATTTAAATATTTATAAATATAAGTAAAAATTATTGAAAATTTGATGGAGAATATAAGAGAAGGTGAAATATGAAAGAAAGGAAAATAAAGTGTAGAAAAAAATAAAAGAGAGAATAAAATAAGAATAAGTATGAGCAAAGAGTCCTACGTAAGGACCTATCTTAGATGCATTTTTAAACATTGAAGTCATGAAAAATAAAGAGTTACATGTTATGAACCATGTGAAAGGTCATTTATAATTCATGTGAAATGTCATCCATAATTCATGTGAAAGGTCATCCATAATATTTTACAATACCAATTTGGATGTATTATACAATTCAACACCATTATTGTGATGATTATAGAATATATCAAATGTCATGAAAAATAAAAAGTCAAGTGTTATGAACATGTGAAAGTTCATCCATAATATTTTACAACAAAAATGAATTTTTCAGTAGTGATATGTTTTAACAGAGATTTTCATCTGCGCATCAATAAAAATAAAATTTTCTATTAACATATAATCATGTTATACATCCAAATTTGTATTGAAACATATCGTATACAATGCACTTTAGTAATTTTGTGAATAATAATAACTGTTTTTTTTTGTAATGGTAGTAATTAAAGAAAATCAATTATTTTACTTTCAAATATATAACATACTAAGAGCAGTTATTCGGTACTGGTATTAAGATAATTTTTCTATAATTACTTTTAGTTTTTCACTATAATTGTTGTATTCTGTTATGACTCCCGGTGAGAAAATATTTATTTGATGAAATCATTTAATAATGAATATAGTAAAAGTAGTAACTAAATTTTCACTTATATTAAAATTTTGTTTGCATTTTCACTATATTTTATGTACAAATCTTATTTTATTAAAAAATTAGATTATAAAAAATTTATAATTTGTATAAAATATGTTAAGAAAGTGTTAAAAATTTATTTGTTAAAATATTTTTTAACGTACTGAATATGATAAAAAAGTTGTGAAATTATAATTTTGGATGGCCCGCGGGATGGCCCTAACCGATAAAGCTTTTGGCCCGTGCGAGCCTTGATTATTGATATTCATTTGGCCTGCGGGCTTTTTGTGGGCTAAGGCCAAATGGGACAGGCTGATCCATTTTAACAGCTCTAATTTCTCTCTCCTACATAAATAAAAAGTTGGATCCCTCGAGCTTCTTTTTATTTTTATTTTTTTTTACAAACAGTGGATCCGCATATTTGTTTCTATGACATGAGATAAGAAAATAAATTAACATCCTATATTTAATACCTAAAATAGTCTGATTATAAATTTACAATTTAAAAAAATAGAGGCTAAAGTACAAGTGATTAAGTAACATCATCAATTTTAAAACTGATTAATCGGTTGTATGTGAAGGAAGCGTGCAATTTTTGTCCATGCAACAATCATTTCTCATAGTGGCATTAATGGCGTCGGCCTTGAATCAGCTTGCATTTGCTGACAACCGCTTCACTGCGTCATTACAATCATTTTAGGCAGGAAAACAATGAGCGCCATTGCATTTGCAGCTGCTGCTGTTTTCTCTTTTAATACTCATAACAATACCTTTTCTGATTTTGCAGGCAAATCAAAATTAGTGTCATCAACGCCAAGCTTTCATATTTTGAAAGCAAATATCATTGAACCATAAAGGTAACGATTAACCAATGACTTGCCTTCTAATATTTGGTTGTTTGCGGCCAATGTTAGTAATTTACAGTTATAACCTTGCTAATGTGATAATGACAACTATGTTTGATATCTTTGTGGCTCGACTAGGTAATTAATGAACCCGGGAAGAAATAAAAAAAAATAACATTGTCTGCATACAAAAGTCTTGACATTTAAAGTGGAAATCAATTTATCTATAATTTATTATTGTCCATGGTAATCAATTTATTTTGCAGATAATAACTTAGATAATTGTACACTATGCTAAACTTAGATTAAATACAATGTCAGCATTGTGCAAAGAGCATCTCACTCTATGCTCCTTTCACACAGTAAAATTGTGTATCGGCTAAAGGGGGAATGGTTCTACAATAGTATGCATCTGTTCTATGTAAAAGTGGAGCAACCATTGACTATGAAGCTCCCCATATCTCACGAGACACCCTGAACTGCCCTTTTCAGCAGAAAATGGGAAACTGAACATATGCAATAGGTCCTGCACTGTCTTTCTCATAAGAGAATATCTTGTCACCTTGCTCCTACGACCCCATCCTGTGATAATATCTATCCGATAAGAGGAGTCCGTGATGGAAGATCACAATCAATGGATATATAAAACCATTAAAAAAAACTATCACCCACCAACTTAAGCTTTTGGGTTGAATTGGTTCTTTACCTGATATCAGAGTCTCGTGTCCCGGGTACGATCCTCGTCGCCCGCCACTTTCTTTCAAATGAAATTTTTTTGTTCGCACAGGTAGGTAGGCCTGTGCATTGTCCACTCTTCAAGCCTAATGGGCTCTCGTGTGAGGGGGCGTGTTGAGATATATAAAACCATTAAAAAAACCCTCACCCACCAGCTTAAGCTTTTGGTTTGAATTGGTTCTTTACAAATGGGTTAAGCTACTTCAACGATAGTAAGCGGGTACGACTCCACATCTTAACCCAAAACTTTAAGGCATTGAGTCCATGGATCTTCTTACTTATATACACTTCACTTAGGCTTTTTGATCCTTATAACCCTTTATTAATAATTAATTACCAAATTGACCTTCATTATAAACTATTTCAAAAATTTAACCCCCTCAAAAAACATAACACCAATCTGCCCATGTTTGACCGTTGACTACCAAGCCTATCCGGGTACACCCCTCCCTACCCGGGTAATTTTTGAAATTTTTTGCATACCCGAGTAGGGAGGGATGTACCCGGGTCTTTTTCTTAGCACCTGAGAAATTGCTTGAATTATTTACCCGGGCAGGGAGGAGTGTACCCGGGTAAATGTCGTTTTTGAAAGAAAAAAATTTGAATTTGAGTCCAGATAATATGATGTAGTAGTCTATTTTGAGAATACAATTTACAGCAACACCAGCAACCTTGACTTCTTGCTTTTACAAATATAACTAAACAAGTTTTGTTTTATGTAACTTGAAAGATGATTAATTTTGCATTGAACAAATATCTCTTATATAAGTTTTAGGTGGGGGTTAACTGGACCTTGCATTATTTTAAAACGTTCAAAATGGTGAAATTTATTTATGACTTTCGTTTTAGCC